GACAGTATTATGGTCTATATGACCTTATTATTTTTATTGTGAGCATGAAGACTGATTTATACTTCTGCATCAAGCGCATGCGTATGGTCTGATGCAACCTTCGCGCAGTTGCATAGCCCTAGCCAGCGCTGACGCGCACCTCTCAAAAAATGTAACTACATGTCGCAACAATGCATAGCGCAACCTCTGTGATTGGTCGGCTTAGTACCAGTGAAGAGGGTGGGCAGTGTTGAGAGCCACGAGCCCAATAGAGCGCTTGTTTACAAGTGTTGAGCCTGTGAAGGAGCTCCAGTTGGAAACTTTTGTTTTGTATGATTAAAGCTGTAATACATGCTAAATGCAATGACACTATCTTAAGATGATTTTCTTAATGTCTTTATATAATTTTATTGCAGTGGCTTTTATTGGGTTTCATGGTTTATTTAATTAATAATAAATGAATTTTAGGCAGGTTGAGGCAGGTTAGACAACCACTCCCACTAGCCACTTTGGCTGGCTTAAACTCATTTTAAATTGCCAGTACTGGCTTGTCGTCACTAGATTAGACTGTTAGTTTATGACCGTTTGTCTATATGCATACAAATGTGATATTAGAATCAAGAAGCAGCACGACTGACAAAAACAGCTTTTTACGCAAGTAAAAGAAAGCAGGTTTATAATGAGAGGATCACGCGCACAGTGAGACAGGCTTTCCTCACTCACTAACGAGGGCTTTAGTGTGTTTAGTGTTTAAAAGCTCCTGTGCCGTTTCCTCACTTGAAGCAAGCATGCCTGGAACCAAAACTAGTGCGATGCTCGTGCACCCACAGTCCATCAAGCGCTCGAGATTCTTTGTAATAACTGGCTAACTGGCTGGTAACGGTGGAAAACTACTAGCCACAGTGCCTGGTGATCAAAAAAGTTAATGTCAAGCCCTGATATTATATATAAAATAACATTATAATACTTGCTATTTTTGGCCATAAAATAATTTTAAAATGATGCATCATCCCTAGTTCTTACACAAGTGTGTCGTTGAGCTCTAAAACAATTTAAAGCTTAAAAATCCCCTTTCTAAAATAGAGTAAAAGAAAACAATGGCCCTCAATTAGTAGCTATATGTGAAGATACAGCGATTCCAAACATGCAGCAGCTGCATTGAATGCTATGTCTCAAACAAAAACAATTCAGCCTTATTACAAAAGGTCTGTCCATCTTTAATCTTAATAATTGCTTCTGGGGATTATGGTCTCAGATCTGATTGTGTAAAATCCCTCCACAAGAAGCATTCTATGGTCCCCTTGTGTGTTCATGTTCAAATGCGTGCCATCTCTGCGTGTTTTGAATTTCCCTAAATAACTTTCCGCAAGGCCCTTAAGAAACACAAAGGCACTGAAATGGACGTTGATGAGTTGAAAGTGTACGTTTGCCTTTAGGACAGCAGCAGGCAAGATGAACACTTTTAAGTGCATCAAATCATCCCATTTCATGTAACATGTCCTGACAGCCACGATGAGATAATGTTTTACGCCAGAACAGCAAATAATAGCACTTGCTTTATTTTTATCTTGCCTAAAAGCCAGGGTATGTCCGCTCAATTGAGTTCAGAGAAAGGTCTTATGACTTTTGTACCGAATATAGCCATTGGTAACTCAACCAATTTCTCAGTAATCTGACAATTAAAGTCAGTTGTCAAAGGTTTGAAGTTTTTTTCCAAAGCTATTTGTTTTTCACAACATATGAAATCGTTGTCCAGAAATAAAAGTTAATCTGACTGCCCGGCACAATTTTGGAAGCTTTTCACGTTCTTATAAGTTCTGATGGTTTAAGCCGGTGCTCTTTTACATGTCATGATGGAGGGATATTTCAATGCTATGTATATGCTGCGTTAAATATGGATTATGTGTGTGGAAACGATTGCTGGATTTAGATGCTTTGTGTCAAAATGGGCAAGCATAATATCCATCCTAATCCCTTTTTACAGACATTTTGGGTGGTAGCCTGCATGGCGGGATGGCAGTGGCTGAATGCTCTCATTATGGATATGCATTATACATCCAGTTTTTCATAAATTTTACTGTAGCAGTAATTTATGCCTGGATGGTTTCATTTGGGATGATAAATAACCATGACACAGTTGTTAGTGCATTAATTCATCCCACTTGATTTAGCCGGAACATTTGGGTAATTTTTTTCTGTATTAAGTGAAAAACTGCTTGTTTAGAAAGATAATTGAAGTCATTAGTGCACATAATTTGTAATGAATAGAATTTTTAACAGCCAAATGCTGAGAGTAATATTGTGTTTTTATACTGTAATTATGTATTCAATCATTTTACCGATAAAGCACTATAGATATACAGCTCTGGAAAAAAGAGACCATTTCAAAATTATTATGGGTTTTCTGGATGTGTCGGTAATAAAAGTTTGAAAAAAATGTCTGTGTTTTATTAATAACTACAAATAAATTATATTCTACGTTTTCAATAAGAATATTTTATTAAAATTATTAATATTTGATAATTTTATATATTTCAAACCTTAAATATTGGAGATAATTATATGTAATATAAGATTAATAAATTTTTTCTCTGATATTTTAAATCTGACAGTGGAAATAACACATAAAAATATGTTATATTGCCCAATTGTCCTTTTCTATTAATAAATGATGGGAATTATACATTTTAAAATTTTTAACAACTAAACATGATTTGTTTTGTTGTTGGGGATGTTTTCATCCACTTTGGGGTGATTTTGTGTCTCAGTAAGTGGCCATAAGTCTGTTTCAGCTAGAAGAATGATTTTTGGTGTGAATCTTAATTTGACACATATTTTGAGAAATTGTTTAGAATGAAAAAACTCTACAATACACTAAATTTATTACCCTTTTGTTATGTTGGGGACGAAAACATCCACTGAATTAAACTGCTGTAAAAATGCATCTGATCTTTTTTTTTTTCAATTTATTTTTTGCATAAATCTGTTAATCAAATTAGTCCTAATTAAAACTACTAAACTGCTTAGAAAACAACAAGATTTTAACTCTTTCATTGCCAAATTCATAAATGTTGTCACTGATTTGGTGGAAATAAAACACACACAAAATGACGGATTTTCAATATATAAAGTAATCGTAGATTTTTTTTTTTTTTACCTTTTATCACAGTCTTGGACATGTGACACAACATTGTCTTTGATGCATGGTTTTTCATGCCACCATATAATCACGGTAAAATGTGTCACTTTTACTGTTGATCATCAGTTGGCATCTGTTGATCTGTGTGCGTGAGAGAGTAATATTTGCGCACTTATATTGATGTGTCTGAGAACATCAAAAGATGCATCTCAGCTCTCAGAACTACATGGAGTAAATAAAAACAAAGACTGTGTATTAATGCACCATTAAATGTGGTTATAATGGAAGTCAATGGGGGCAAAAACAGCCACCAACAGTAATTAAGGGAGAAAAAAATGAAAATCTAATAATGAATCAAAGCTAATGTTATTATTGATCGTTTACATGCACAACACTGTGATAAAATGTTAAGAAAATCCAGTCCACAATTACTTTTCTATATTGAAAATACGTCATTTTGTGTGTGTTTTTTCACCAAATCAGTGACATCATTTATTAATTAGAGAATTAAAGAGTTAAAATTCTATAATTTTCTAAACAATTTAGTAGTTTTTTTTTTTTTATCAGGACTGAGGTTGATTAACAGATTTATGCAAAATATTTGAAAAAAAAAAAAAATCTGATGCAATTTTACAGCATTTTAATTCAGTGGATGTTTTCATCCCGAACATAGCAAAAGGGTAGTAAATTTTAATTTAAACAGTGCATAATGGTTAAAAATATAATAATAATGTTTTTATTATTGTTATGTTTTTAAAAATATTATAATTTATACATATAATTATATATATATATATATATATATATATATATATATATATATATACATATATATACACACACACACAAATATACATATATATATATATATATATATATATATATATATATATATATATATATATATTTGTTATTATTTGTATTCTGGTCTTTTTATTATCTTTAATAATATTAAATAAAATAACGTATAGGAATGTAAATATATACTGCTGTAATTTTATTTATTTACTATTATTTTTTATAATAAAAAATACTGTTTATGCCATGTGTAAATGATTGAAAGTTTTGGTGCTGGGATGTCAGAACCCCCACCCGAGTATCACAAAGGGCCGTGCTCTGCAGGGGTGGAGGCGTTTATTGTCTATCTGTCTGGTCCTGGGTGGAGTCTTTCTATTTCTCCCCCATGGGATTTGCATATTGATGTCCGGTCCTAGAACTGGTACAACTCCCAGAATGCCTCATGCTGTAACTGGGCCTCAGCCATAAACAGCATGTCTCCCCGCCCTAAACAAAAGCCTCCTCAGAGGGATGAGGGAGGGATGATACCAGGCCTGCACAACAGATCTAATTATGTTCATTTAACATAAGGGTGACCAAGTGACTGCGATTAAAAAAAAAAACTAAACTAGATGGGTCAGAAAGTAACGTGGCCTGATGGGTATTGTGTTTGTGCAGTTGACTGGTTAACATTCTGCTTCTGATGTTTTGTTTAGTCTGATTTAGAAACGTGATTAGGCTTTATGCGTTTTTAATAGTTGATTGTCAGAACTTGTTTCTGTATTTTATTAATACAATATTGCATAATGGCAATGGGCCACACAGTAAGATAAAACAGACAAATTTATAAATAAATTTTAAATTATTAAAATAAATTACTATTTAAAATATTTAAATAGATAATGGAGTATCAAAACATAATATAAATATAATGACAAACAAACCCAAATGAAATCAATTGTTTCGCTGTATGGCATTAATATTTAGTACTTTTTATGTATTTTTTATTATCCACATATTTATTTATTAGTAATTATTTTCTAATCACATTTTTATTATGAAATTATTAATATTATTAACGTTACACTATTCTCTTTCTATACAGCCCTTTCATCCTATGGTGAACTTGGAGTGCTCTACTGAAATACGGCCGTTCCTGTGTGCCCTTTATGCACCCGTGTGCACCGAGTACGGCCGTGTGACCCTCCCATGTCGCCGTCTGTGCCAGCGGGCTAAGAGCGACTGCTACAAGCTCATGGAGATGTTTGGGGTCAGCTGGCCAGATGAGATGGAGTGTAGCAGGTACAAGCTTCCTTTCATGAAGCCCTTCTGCTGGACATCTGTGTGTTATATAAGAACCCAATCTAATATTCTGTCTCTCAGGTTTCCCGAATGTGAAGAGTCGTACCCTCGAGCGATAGACCTGCTCCCCAGCAGCGACAGCACTGAGGAATCGCCATCCGCAGTTCAACGGGATTATGGCTTTTGGTGCCCGCGAGAGTTGAAGATCGAGCCCGACCTGGGTTACTCCTTCATGGGCGTCCGTGACTGCTCTCCTCCCTGCCCCAACATGTACTTCCGCAAAGACGAGCTCATCTTCGCCCGCTATTTCATCGGCGTCATTTCCATCGTCTGCCTATCTGCGACTCTGTTCACCTTCTTGACTTTTCTCATCGATGTGGGTCGCTTCCGCTACCCCGAGCGTCCCATCATCTTCTACGCTGTCTGCTATATGATGGTATCTCTGGTCTTCTTCTTGGGCTTCCTGTTGGAGGATCGTGTCTCATGTAACACAGCAAGCCCGGGTCGTTTCCGAGCCTCCACCATCACCCAAGGCTCCCACAATAAAGCATGCACCCTACTCTTCATGACCCTCTACTTCTTCACCATGGCAGGAAGTGTTTGGTGGGTCATTCTCACCATCACCTGGTTCCTAGCAGCAGTTCCCAAATGGGGAAGCGAGGCCATCGAGAAGAAGGCTTTGCTGTTTCATGCGGTGGCTTGGGGTGTGCCTGGAGCCCTCACCATCACTCTGATGGCCATGAACAAAATCGAGGGCGACAGCATGAGTGGTGTGTGCTTCGTTGGCCTCTACGACCTCATGGCTTTGCGCTGGTTCCTGTTGGTGCCGCTAGTGCTGGATGTGATTGTTGGTGTGGTGCTGCTGTTAGCAGGCATAGCGGCGCTAAATAGAGTACGGATGGAGATCCCACTAGAGAAGGAGAACCAGGACAAACTGGTGAAGTTCATGATCCGGATCGGCGTGTTCTCCGTGCTGTACCTGGTGCCTCTGCTGACGGTCATTGGATGTTATTTGTATGAGCAGAGCCATAGATCGGTGTGGGAGACCACCTGGGTTCAGGAGCGCTGCAGAGAGTATCATATCCCCTGCCCGTTTAAGGTAAGTCTGATGTATGAAACACTTGTAATAGCGCTCAAATATTTGGGTAGACCCTTCACAATAACTGCTGTATTGACTTATTGTGCAATTGACCCTTTGCTAAGCCACACCTGAAAACTGCCACACTCCAATAGTGGCTATGCGCAGGTGGTCTGTCAAGCTTTCGAGCGAGGGAAACAAGTCAAAGTGTTGTGCATATGGATTGTGCAAATCTGATAGCCGGTATCCTAAAAGTTTGAACGAGGTGGTGAATTTTTTTTTTTTACATTCCAAAACCTAAAACCCAAGCGGAGAAATGCCAGCGTGGATCAAGCTGTGTGAGGGGCTGTAAAAGCAGCACGATTCAGTCATCTGTTTCAAGCTACGAGTATTTGGATTACATATCAACAGAACAAAACAGAGATATGATCGCAATATACTGCACCCGCAGCTGTTTTTCAGTAATTTATATCCTTCATGTCCATGTCAGAGCTACAATTCAATGTTTTTGTCTGTCTTTTGGAGTTTTAGTCATTGGTGAGGACGATATAGCGGGTTACTGTCTGCTTTTATATTTGGTGTGGGATTAATATTTGCTCATAGGGAAAATCTATTTGTTCACTTCTGCTATTTATACTTTGATTTGCTTTTCAGCATGTTTGTTTTTTCCACTGAACTGCAAATTAGAATAGAAACGGTATAAAAAACACACAAACATACTGACAGTTATAGGTATTGTACATTGTTATGGGTAAGGGTGTCACGATCCTCTAAATCCTCGATTCGATTACATTTTCGATTCTAAAGGCACGATTCGATTTTCGATTATGAATAATTAATTAATTAATGACCAATTAATTATTTGTAGCCTACCGTTTAAACTACCTGACCTGCATGGTCTTTGTTTTACCCATAAACAAATCCTACAGTAAATGAATAAAGGCAAGATACACACATAATTACCACCTGTCAATCACTTTTTCTGCGGGACCGGTTGAAAAGGCAGTGATCTGTGTCGTTATAATGGCGTCGGTAAAAAAAGACAGGAACCAGCCAACAGTATCTGAGGTGTTCGCTAAAATGACAAAGTACAAGTGAGTGAAAGATTGAAGCAGTCCTCTGGCTGCCTGGACCTGCTCTCTCGAGCGTATGGCTGTGAGTGTGTCTGTGTCTGTGTGGTCACGTGATGTGCATTTTCAGCGGTAGTGAAGAAGGAGGGCTGCTCAGAAATGCTACACGCCACTGTGGATGTCAAATCGTTGTCGTTCTAAAATGCCATTTAAAAACAAAGACAGTGTAAACAGGGCCTGAGTGTGTACTGTTCGCGAGCGGATTTGCAACGGGGGCGGGCGGAGGATTGCGATGCCGGTGTTGTCTATCGGACGAACCGTACGTAATACGTACAATAGCAGAGCTTGCAAAACTGTGTTTTTTTTTTGTCGACAACACGAACGTTGTCAACATAACTCACTGGAAATCCAAAATGCTTACACACCGGCGACTTCATTGAAAGAGGAGAGGGTTTAAGCTCTGTCGACGGGTCTCCTGCTTCTGCAGTTTAACAAGCACTTCAACAAGCCTGTTTTTTTCCCGCTTGGAAAGCCAAGCTGACGTGACATGGGGGTGTGACAGCATCGACGATTCTATTTTTTGATTCGACAATCGAAATTAAGCATAAATTTCGATCGATTTCAATTAAAAATCGAAATCGTGACACCCCTAGTTATGGGTCAATAATACTAATATTTGGCATAAATCCATCAATTTCCCCTTTCTGGCTGCTCTTTCTATGAATGAATTATGTAGATCAGCGTGTTTCCTCGTCGGTTAGTAATGCTTTATTTCATTGCACAACAATTAGTCTATCAAGCTTTTTGGCTAAAAAAGAGAAATTATGGTTTAATTTGTGAATATTATATTATTTTTAAATTTCACCTCTCCTGCTGTGCATGAACTGAGCTGTTGAATGCTCAGTGTAACAGGCGGCTAGGCTTTAGCTTCAGGTTTGATTCAATTATTGTCTAATTGAATATAACCCTGTAATGCATACTGCAGTCCTGTTTTGTCTGGCTTTCTCAGACATCTCACCTGTACGCCAAAACTGACTAATTATATCCTTGGCAATGTCTGACACCAGCGCATACATATTGTAATAGACGTGCCAGGAATGAAAGCTTAACAGACATAACAACAGTAACTAAGGAGGGCGGAGTTTAGCAAAGGGCAATATATGTGGACAGAGGCAGTTCAAGACCATATCGACTGTTGGGCCACACTTTAAAATTAATTGTATTCAGGATTATTTCACCTCATGGTTTGTATCATTTCTTATTTCATGCATCACTCTGCCATCTTTAGATATAGGCTAATAAATAGTAATTATTAACACACACACACACACACACACATATATATATATATATATATATTCATTCATTTTCTTGTCGGCTTAGTCCCTTTATTAATCCGGGGTTGCTACAGCGGAATGAACCGCCAACTTATCCAGCTAGTTTTTACACAGCGTATGGCCTTCCAGCTGCAACCCATCTCTGGAAATCATCCACACACACACTACGGAAAATTTAGACTACCCAATTCACCTGTACCGCACATGTCTTTGGACTGTGGGGGAAACCGGAGCACTCGGAAGAAACCCACGCGAAGGCAGGGAGAACATGCAAACTCCACACAGAAACACCAACTGAGCCGAGATTCGAACCAGCAACCTTCTTGCTGTGAGGCGACAGCACTACCTAGTGCGCCACTGCCTTGCCATATATATAGGGTGAATAAGCACTAACTGATCATGAATATGATGACAGATTTGTTATGTAAATGCTCTACACAGCATTATTAGTAAAAAAAAAAAAAAACTCAATAATCACATTACAAAAGCATCCACCTTTCCTGATATATTTATTCTCCTTCCTTTGACCTCAAGTGGATTTACTGTGCTTGCTGAATAATTAAAGGCCTCCACAGTTTGCTGCCAACTTTGTCCACAGTCTGTTTTTGGTAATGTTTTAGTGAATAAATAATTTATTACTGTGACTAAGTGGTCACTATAAGATGCAGGCAAAAATAAATAGTAGTCTGCTTACTCTTCATCTAGTGCCATAAATTGTACTGGTACAAATGGCATCAAAAGTAACCAAAAATGGCACAAAATGCGTTTTTTATTAAATGACACAATATGTTCAATTACTCAAAATGAATGCTTATATCAGAGATGCCCAAAGTAGGGGCCGCAGGCCAAAGTTGGCCCATTGTAACCTTTAATTTGGCCCACCATCCCATCTAAGAAGGAAGTGAGAATGATAGAGAGGGTTGGGGCAAATGCCTTTAAAAAAACATAGTCATTTCTAATTTGACAGGACATTTTGCTTATTTGTTTTATTGCTAAGCCTGAAAAAAGCAAACTGAAATTAAATGTTTCACTTAAATGATGTAAATGAATCTCATTTTTTAAAATGTACAATAAGTAATGTCACTCGATGGATAGAGGACTATGCAGAAGACATCAACGAGCAAATCATGGCAAAGACTAGTTTAACTCCATTCTGTTATGTTTTTGTTTTACTGTAATAAGTTCATCATGAAATGTAATATATGCTGTGTTATAGGGATGTTCTGATCGATGTGTCGAAGATTGGTATCGGCCGATAATCACATTTTACGTCTCAATCCACTGGCTGATCTGGCCAATCTCATGAACTGATTCCATGAACCGATTGCAAGTGTTTGTTTACGAATTTACAACTCGGGTAACACATCCACAACAGTACAACACATGAGCAATGTTTCCAAATCGCATCGCCAGTCATTTTACTTAATTCTTTTTGATTTTTCTGTTTTATCTGGAGCATCCCTACTGTATTAGTTCATATAAAGCAATGTTTTCTAGATGTTTCTAAATATTATTCAATAAATTAGGAAATTACCCATGGCTTATACACTGTATTTACGTTCAGTGCACTAGCCTCAATCGAGTTTGGTTTTTGGCCCTTCACAAGAAAAAGTTTGGGCACCTCTGGTTTATATGATCTGACTGTAGTATTTGATATGAAAGGATGACAATTTCTATTTCTTTTATTGCTAGGGAACAAAATACCCTCAGAATATTAAAGACTAAAATCCATAGAGTAAAAACAGAATCTTTTCCGCTAAGTTCATTGCTTATAGCTGCGTCTGAGTAAAACATACAGCAGCTTCTGCTCTGAATATCTCGTGTCAAACATGATACATATGAACTGATGCATTAATAAAAACTAATAGGCTGTGGAGGAAAGTTTCAGCTGCATCTCGATGATGTTTATCCATGTGTGTGTGTGTACTGTGTACATGCCTGAGGTTGTATGGGACTGTGGGATCAGTTTTAATGAGGTCTTGTTTACTGCTGCTGCTTCTGTTCTGTTGTGTTGTGGCGCAGAGGAAGGACAGTCTTGTGTCATGTTATATCTCTGTAGCAGCACTTCATGAACTGTTAAGAAGTGTTTTGCTATTTAAAGCAGATTTCTGTCATACTGCTGTAAGTCAAGATGTTGTGCAGCAGTCAAATAATGTATTTGTAAACAGTAAAGATGTGTGAGATGTTTATGTTGTGATGTATAACAATCAGCCAAAATCAAGCGACATATTTTAATTTAAATAAGGATTGCACAAGGTGCCATTTAAGCAAATGACTCAGTAGATAACAAAAATGCTGTTCAAGATAAAGACAAAAGATTTGTTAAGATTTTTTCAGATCATTCAAATAAAGGTTTATTAAAGCTAATTAAACCAATTCTTGTTACGTCAAGTAATAATTACATTAAATTAAATACATTTGAAAGATTACAAAGTGCTTACCACTGATCTATATAGAATTCTCTCTTACAGAGCAATGACACAAACTAAAATAAAGATAATAAAAAAATAAAAAATAACTATTTCTAAAAATGTAAATAAGAATTAAATGTAACTAATATATATGGATGTAAAGCCATACACAATTGCTCAAAACTAACAGTCAAGATAGTAATTTACCCAGCAGGCACTCAACATCACAAGACGTTAAAACTAGATTAGATTTAGGTCGTGATGTCAGGTGACCAAAATTCAATGTCTAGCCAGCGTCTTAAGGACAACATTATTTTGACATCCAATAATGACGTCAAATTACGCTGATATTTGGTTGATTTTAAGTTGTGTTGGAAAGTCACCAAAATCCAACATCTGATAGATCTCATGGTGGTAATGTCCACAAAACGTCAAGGTTTTAGGTTGGACATTGACGTCAGCCTGATTTTGGGTTCTGATGTCAACCCAATTTTCATTTCCAAACAAAATCCAATGCAGCACAACTATTTTTAACGCTAATAACAAAAACAATAAAGGTTTCTTGAGCAGCAAATCAAACTGGATTGTTTTAAATTGTAATATCACCATATGGCTATGTTCTAGGTCAAATAAATGATCAGATGTGCAGCAGGAATGTATATGAATGTAAAGTCAGGCTGACAGCATTCAGAGCAGAAGTAATGCTCCATCTAAAGCACAAATACAGAAAGAGTGTGTTTGTGTGTGTGTGTGCATTAGATAAAGGGCAGGACAGACATTTGTGTTGGCTGTTGCTGTGTTTATGCCATTGGCAATTGTGCAGTGAGCTGAGATAAAGCACTTCCCATCCACACAATCGCACACACACAACCCAAGGCTAAACTGACACAAACACACACTGCATGGGGTTAAGAGCGGATCCCACATGTTCCCACAGTACACGTTCTGATTATAAATCAGGTTTCTCCTGTTCTGAAGTTGCAGATTATGCAGAAGTGTGTGAAAGTGAATCTGCTTGTGCTGTGTTTACAGGTTGAGAAGACCAGCAGGCCTGATATCGCCCTGTTCCTCATCAAGTATCTGATGATGCTGGTGGTGGGCATCCCGTCTGTGTTTTGGGTCGGGAGTAAAAAGACCTGCTTCGAGTGGGCCAGTTTCTTCAGTGGGCATCGCAGAAAAGAGTGAGTTTTGTGTAACGTTTGGTGAATTTCTTACATTATTGTTGAAATTTATTGTAGGGATGTCCCAATCAGGTTTTTTTGCCCTTGAGTCCGAGTCTTTTGATTTTGAGTATCTACTGATACCAAAACCGATCCGATACTTCTATAATACATTTTTTTATTTAATTCAGCATATTTTAACATTTTAACTGTTAACAAACAGAGCACTTCTGTGAGGTAGCTTGAACAATCAAGTAATAAATAACATACATTTTTCACACTTAAGACTTTAGTGCAACAGTAAATACGAAAAATATCTAATATAAAAACAAATAGCACCTCAGCTTAAAATACCCTGCAGGTAAACCCAAGTTTGCGTATCTCACAGTTTGCTATGGCAATGATGTCATCATCTGCTTTATAATACCTCCAGACCTCAGACATACTCGTGCTTTTCGCTTCAAGCTGCTTCCATGTTTTACTTTACCGGCATTAACCATTAGCGTCTCTGCAATAAAGTGATGTTATGCAGTTTCTGTGTGAAGTCAAGAAAGAGGTCTAACTCTGTGCCAACGCATAACTATAGATGTGTTCAAAAATAACGAGTAAATATATGCAAACAGTTGAAGTTGAATTATTAGCCCCCTTTAGAATGTCTCACTTGTTTTATTTCGGCTATAATAAAAGCAGTTTTTAATTTTTATTATTATTATTTTATTTTTTTGGAAGAATATGTACAATTACAGAATGTTTGCAAATATATAAAAAAGATCCTCCACATTTTACTTATGCAAAAAATAAAAGAAATTAAAAGAAATTAAAACGAAATATTTCCTTCTATAATTATTAGGTACAAGTGATTCTATTACAACTACATGTCTATATGTATATATACATACACATACACACATACACATATATACACACAGACATACACACGTACATACAATTTTTCCCTTGGTCTATTAACACAATTTACAGAGTCTACCTATGAATATGTAAACCATTATCTGAATTGACAGAGAAAAAAAACAAAAAAAAAACAAACAAACTTAGTTATCATTACAGAAGGAAAAGAAGAACAAAATATATACGAACTCAAACAAAATAGATCACAGTATGCAAACGAAAATAATACCCTATAATACCCCCCCACCCGTCAGTTTCCGTCTGTAGTGCACACCCGTAGGAAAGATTACTGAAAATGGGAGCTGCCATATGATTTGACAATATCCCCATCAAACAACTGTTCCATTTCTCCCTTCCAAGTACCTTATAAAAGGTTCCCATATTTTAAAAAATTTAGGCTTTTTATTTTGTAAATGGTACCGTATTCTTTCTAAATGGAGTGTGTTTGTGAGTTCACTGAGCCATAATTTGAAAGAAGGAGGAAGTTTACTTTTCCAGAATGTCACAAGCAGTTTTTAATTTTTTAAATACCATTTTAAGGTCAAAACTATTAACCCCTTTAGGCCAATTTTTTTCCATAGTCTACAGAACAAACTATCGTTATACAATAACTTGTCTAATTACCCTAATGTGCCCAGTTAACCTAATTAACCTAGTTTAGCCTTTAAATGTCACTTAAAGCTGTATAGAAATGTCTTGGAAAATATCTAGTCAAATATTATTTACTGTCTTCATGGCAAAGATAAAATAACTCAGTTATTAGAAATAAGGGGCGAATAATTTAGGGGGCTAATAATTCTGACTTCAACTGTATTTATCCGAGTCCTGATTGCGATGTAACGTCTGAAACTGCGAGTCTAAAACTGTGTGATCGGGCTTGATTGTGGGAATTAAATAATCATCAAAAACATTTTCAACAAAAATAGAAGCAGTAAGTAAGCATTATTTTAACTTATAATGATACAAACTGTTTCTTGATTGAAAACCTGCGTTACACTTTGTTAAAAAATAGTAGTTTTAAATTAGTTTGAAATCATAGTTCAAAATATCACTGTTGATTTATTTATTGATTCAATAAAAGTTTTGATAAAAACGCAGCACTGATAGACATAAGAGACCCGTTTTAAATGTCATTATCATATGATTAAGTGTTACATGGATTTTCATCATATTACAATAATTTCGTTGATTGTTAGGTAGTCAGCTAGTTGGTTATGCCGAAAAGTAAAAAATAATACTAAAAAAGTTTACATTTTTAAAAATGAAACAGGTTAAGTTTTTAAATAAATTTTTAGGTGCAGTGTGTAAGTTTGACACCCAGCGGTTGACTTAGGTATTGCATTCCTGGATCAAACGCAAGTGCAGGTTGCCAGCTGATCAAGGCGTTCTATATAAAAGTTACGGCACGTGATAGAAGGAATATTTTCCATAATAAAGGGAGTTTTTGTCATAACCAAAACCTTGAATTGATATATTAGAAACGGCTTTTTATTTCTCACAGGTAAACACCAGGGAAAACTTACAATGATCAACTCAGGTACACTACATATGCTTTATTCAGTGTCAAATGCTAATAATGTGAGTGTGGATGTCATTTTACATGACATTTATTCCCATACTACTAAAAACAGCCGCAGATACGTTAGTTCACCTCAGATCTTGAAAAAAAAAAAAATAAATTGAAATTGAACTTCATAACTGTGAAATAATGCAAACAAACTCATACTGTGTCAGTGATCCAGCATGCATGTTTAATAATGTTAAAGAGGTTTAATATATATTAATATTAATATGTGATCATAAACCTTACCATTTCATGAGTAAGTGCATATTCTGTGCTTCTGAATGGCTCAATTTAAATGGCTGTCATGCTGTCTCTGGTGCAAACAGCCAAATAGCTTATCACTGCAAATCTCGTCACGTAGCGGACATTTTCAAAGCAGAATATCTGACTTCAGTATTGTTTGTCAGACAAACAAGTATGTTCACTTAGCATGTTTCTTGACATATTATGGTATTTTCATGCTTTAGAAGAGTCAAAAACTTACATACAGCACCTTTAATGTATTTATTTGTTAGCTACACTCAAAAAATTTAATTTGCTGCTTGTTCAAACTACTTCTTTGAATAAAGCTGGAGATTTTTTTGGAAAACTTAATTGTTTTATGCTCTATGTACTAAAATTAGTTACGTTAACATAATGGATTTGTGTTGGGACAACATGAATGAATTGGGTGGAACAGTGTAGTTCCACCAAATGTTAAAAACCTATACTTTTAAGTCTAAATGAGTGGCAGAAAGAAAACTAAAATTATTACTACATTTTGAATAGTACAAGACTGCTACTATCTAATTCCTGGAGGGCCGCAGGTCTGCAGTTTTGCTCCAACCCTAATCAAACACATCTGATCCAACTAATCAAGGTGTTCAAGGCTACTATAAACTATTTTAAGCAGATGTGAGTTGGAGCTGGTTGGAGCTGAGCTATGAAGAGCTGCGGCCCTCCAGGAATTTTAGATCACTGATTTAATCCAAAAACATTAAATCTAAAGCTCTAATAATTCAAATGACAACTTAAAAAAAAATCTAATAAATTAGGCAGAACAAGAATGAAGACATAATTCCTTTTTTAGATTTGATAAGGTTCACAATTAAAAGTGTCAGTACTGATGGTTTATTTTTATATATAACCGTATATTTATATATAAGTTTTTATATGATGACATGGTAAATACGTTTTTATTAGCATGAACAATATCCAAAAATGAATAATAATAATAATAATACAAACTTACATTTTATATAGTGCTTTTCTGGACTCTCAAAGCGCTTTAGGGGAATCTCCTCATCCACCACAATAAGTAAAAGATACTACTAAAAAAAAAATCTCTTCTACTGTCCAATAATGAGAAAGCTACAAGCACAGTATACCGGGAGTCTGCAATATGCATACATTTAAATATAATAAAAATAGCCACAGGAAGAAATTCAGTCAGTGTGACTTGAATAAATGCAAAATAGATAAGTCAGTCTATAAACAGTAAGCAAACAGTGTCAGTAAGTGTGTCCTGTCTCATAGGGTTTAGTGTAAAGGCCTCCTCTCTACACACCCCTGTCCCTCATATCAGGGCATTAACCTCCTCTCCTTCCACCTGTCCCACTCCCTCCTCCCTCATTCATCTGCACTCCTCCACCTTTCCTTTGTCTCTTCCTTCTGTCCTCCGTCTCTCCCTCCCCTCATTCCCGCCCATCTCCTCCGTCAGCAGTGCGGTGCACGAGAGCCGGCAGGTGCTGCAGGAGCCCGACTTTACCCAGCTCCTCCTCAGAGATCCCAACACCCCTGTGGTGAGGAAGAGCAGAGGCACGTCCACGCAGGGCACCTCCACCCATGCCTCCTCCACACACCTGGCCATGCTGGACGAGCCCCCGAGCGCGAGCACCAGCCGTGCCGGCAGCACACGCAGCAAGTCCAGCAGCTTCCACGGCAGCTTGCACCGCTCCAGAGATGGCCGGTGAGTGTGTGTGATTTTTATCGTTTTCATTCAAACCAGATTTGTCCTGTGAAGTGTTTTGAATTGTGCATTTTAATTAGATATTTGACGGAATCTCACATGGAAAATTAAAAGAGGGTGAGTCATAGTGCAGCTCCTTCCTTTTAAAAAAAACAGCCAGTTGTTGAACTCAAGCAAATCAAATGTAAAGCATCTTGAAGAGGGGGGGATATGTCAGATACTAGAGAGCATTTGGTCATGATTTTTTTTCAACTGTAGTATGGGTTGACATGAATAAAACCTAGGCAGAAGTGACAAAATATAAGCTTTACATGTTTATATCTGTTTATATCTTCTAAACGCAAGTTTTGCCATTGTTTTGGTGCGCACACTAGCATATAGTTATCCTAAAAACCAACAATACTGATACAAATTACTAAAAAAACTTGATTATAATTTCATGGGACCTGTTTGAGTTGACGTTATTGAGTGTGTTGCTCAATTTGTAAGAAAAAAAAGCATGTCTTGAGAGTGCAGAAGCATGGACTGATTGATTAAGCCTATGAAAGTATAAAGTATGTTACATAAACAGACTTGCAAAAACGGGCAACACAGAAATTTGTGACTAAAAAGTTTTTTTTAAGCATCACAACTAAATTATTAGAGACCCGGAAGAGACGTGATGGTGGGGAAAAAAATTGATGAAAGAAACCCTTCCTGTTCACTTTAGGCATGGGCCAGTATAAGATTCTGATGGTATGATAACCTTGGATAAATATGCCACGGTTTGACAGTATCATGGTATTGTGATTACTGCTCTAAAATATATCTTTTTAAATGACTAGGTTAAATACAAAATCTTTGTTCCCTTTTGAGCACAATATATTTTATTTTGAGAAACATTAAAAATATTTTGGAAGAGTAAACATCTCAGGCTAAATGAATTATTGACTTCTTCTGTCTTCATTTGTTTCAAAAACAGATTTTAAAAACAATTTAAAAATGCATCTTTAGATATCTTTTCTCCAGAAGATACTGTTGTTCTAAAAAAAGTAAATAAAAAAAATTATACACATACCTTAGGAACAGTATTGGAGAAAATTATGATGGTTTAAAATCGTCCCATGCCTAGTTCACTTTATACATGTCAACTATCCCGTTTTTACCATTTTAACCCACTATCATCAGTTTATCATATGGAGCGCGTCCGTCAGTCAGCGTTTACTGCGTTTACTGATTGCACAGGAAGTTCGGCGACCGACGTACAGCATTGATAAATAGAACAGAATGCAGACATATTTATAATAATTTTAACATGCTTTCAAGATTAAAAATATGAGTGAATTATATGAGAAAATACTTAATGAAAGAATGATAGTGGGATAGAATGGCAAAATACAGGAGAATCTCGGCAAAAACTGCCGGGTTGACGTATAATGTGAATAGGAAGTGTTTGTGGAACACTTGCTGAATACATTCCATGGCATATACATTCCATGTACTTCCTGAATATGGAAAACATCTTTGAGAGATAGCGTAAAACATCTTTGTGTGGGAATGCAAAAACTTAAAAATATATATTTTCCCATAATTTCGTTTTTTTTTTTTCTCACTTCATCATGTCCCTTCCGGGTCTCCGTATCGTATTAATCTTTTAACAGGTGTGATATTAAATTTGCACCAGAGTAACAGTTATGTTGAAATCTGTTGGAAAGAGTTATGACATTTAATTTTAATATTTTCAAAATATATTTAAATGAAGCATACTGGACATCAACAATCAAAATATTGAAAAATTAGATCTTTTATATGAGAATAAGATAATAATCTGATAATGAGACTTTTTAAGAGAAGTTTATGCTTAACAAGGTTGCATTTACTAGACTCAAAATTATCATTATTAAGTTTCAATTTAAAATGATTACAAATAACCAGTCATTTTCTATATTTAGTGCTCCATTACTGTTGGTTCTCAATTATGAACTATGGTTCTTATGCATGTTATTCTAAATAGTTTTTTTCACCAAAGCATTGAATGGTAATTTATTTTTAAATATTTATGTGTATCTTTGCCATCACAGAAATTAATTACATTATAAACTATCATTTTTAAATAGATTTTATATTGTAATAATGTTTCCCATTGTGGTTTTAGAATATTTATGCAGCCTTGGTAAGCATAACACACTTCTTTCAAAAATATATACTTATTCCAAACTTGTATTCATAATAACATGCACTTACATAATAGGAGTAAATATTCAGCAAGTTTTCCAAACCAAATTAGGCAGATGTCCTAGGATAATATCACCCCAATTGAGCACAGCTGGCCAAAGCCTGCATCTGCTTCTCTGACCAAAGATCTAAATGTCTCTGACGCTGTGTTTGTCATCAGGTACACGGCCAGCAGTTTTCGCGGTGTGGAGGAGCGCGTTTCTCACGGGAGCTCCCTGCGCCTCAATGAGCCGCTACAGCACTGCGCCATTAACCGCCTGGACAGCCAATCACGGCACGGCAGCCTGCAGCGCCTCGAGAGCCAATCACGGCACAGCAGCGTTCGAGACCTCAGCATCACAGCACAGGCCATCCAGAGCAGCCCTGGAAATGGCATCCACCGCGTCATGGAGGAGGACGCGACCAAAGCATAAACTATACTGCAAAACTACTCGTAACTAATGGAGCTAATGGAGCCACAAATACCAGAGTGTTCGAACTACACTGTTAACTGTGCGCGTTCACTGGGAATTGAACCCACAGCCTCATGACACTAGTTGAGCAGCTCCACGATCAAAAGGGACTTGAATTTATTTACTTTAAATTTGACTTTTAGTCAGAGGATTTCCAAATCAGAGGATACCAAACACTTGAAATCCTTTACCGTAAACTACCAACAGAAGTCTGGGGTCTGCATGCTTTTTTATTTCATTTCATTTGGTTATTGTAAACAATTTCACCTATCTTTTTATCAAAAATCATTATAACAAAAATAAATATTAACACAAATTAAATAACCATATTAGAGTTACTTTTTGTCATTAAATTCTTTTTTAAAATCTATTACAAGGGCTGAGCGATATTGGAAAAACCTGATATTGCGATATTTTATTTTTCTGTGATAAATATAGTGATATAAATACAGTTTCACAAGACAGTTGATGGTTTTCTGGGGAGTCTAACAGTATTTAGGTACAGAAATTGAAGTTACAATGCAAATATCAAGTCCAAATATCAAAGCATTCTTAGAGCAAGTAAAAATATTGTTTAGTTTTCACCATCAGCATAAAAAGGTGAAAATCTACAAGCTAAACAAGCTAAATGATCTGCTACTGAGGTAAGTTAAATAATCTTGTACTCGATACTTGAAATATAGATGTTTGGACTAGAAACGAGACAAAAATTCTAAGTAAGTAAAACATTTTTGATGCATAAATCATATAAATTCCATATAAAAACAGTGATGAAATAGGATTCTCTAGCTCTTGGTCTACTACAATTCAGACTTAACACTGCATATCTTTGCGAAGTGACAACTGCGGATGCACACATTGCGATAACGATGCTGAAATTATATATTGTGCAGCCCAGTATTTATTACTAGGGCTGGGCGAGATTGCAAAAATGCAATCTCCATAATTATTTTCTATAATAAACGATATATATTGTATATATATCGATATATATTTACAAAACTATATATATTTCGATAGAAGTTGTTGCTTCCAGATTCAAAAAAGTACCGCAACAATAGCTGTTTCCATCCAAAAATGATAATTAATTTTTTGCGCAAAACTGGTGTGTGAATAAAGCCGCGTTTCCATCCAACGAATCAAATCGTCAGTTCCTGATTAACTGGGGCCAAATATCAACAGTAAAAATGGAATATGCTGCAATAAAAAAAGCTGCGTGAATCTTTTCTTCATTTAATAAATGACTTGAGCATCAGAAGGCAATCCTGACATGCAGTGAACACGCGGTGGCCAAAACAACATTTCAGATGTTTTATAATGTGCTCAATTTGTCAAATTTGTCAACTCACACACATTTTTAACATCACATGATCTCTTATAACAAAATCACATGACTTTTTTAATGCGCATACTGGAATTTGTTCGGTAAAAGTGTTTGCATTGCCGTTTATGAGCATCTTTTCTTATCAAATAAAAGTTTGTCCTACACAGTTATGCGCATGTTTTTTATGCGCATTTTCAAAATGTATGCACATCTTACCATTTCCATCAACTTGTTTTTCATGTGAATATCTAAAATGCACATAAAAAATAGGTGGATGAAAACGTAGCTATGAACTGAAGCCACAAAAATTAGACGGTCCATTTAAATGGCCATTAAAACATATTTTCAGCCAATAAATTTTTGGTATGCAAAAATTTACTGCATCTCTAATATCAACACACTTTTAGATTCTCATTGTTGCACATTTCTGCTGTGTGATTGGCTCCTAGATCAATATGGAGTAAAAATGTCTAAAGCTTATTATTGTTATTGACATTAATTTGATCGCAGTTCGATATAATATCGTTTATCAGCTCAGCCCTTTCTATTACAATAGAATAAAGTTATTTTATACTGTAATAAGATTTCAAAATCTGCTTTTCTGATCAAACTAATTATGCCACAGGGAGCATAGAAACATGAACTATTCAAAAACTTTGTTTAAAAAATCATACAGACCCCAAATCTTTATAAGGTAGTGCATGTATTGTGAGCTTTTCTAAGGTGAATCTGTGGAACCTTGAGTCAGTGTTCCTTCATAAACAGGGTCAAGCATAAGGGCTTTTAATGCATCATTGATGTGTTGAGCCACTTGCTGTTTTATACTCCCGTGATTTAAGCTTTCTGTTTTGACCATGACAGATGTGGTTTTGAATGTTTCTTTCCATTGTTTGTTGCACTTTTGACTGTTTTATAGAGAAAAACTAGTGATGGATATTGATATCTATACACATTTGGGTCAAATATAAATGGACAGTTTGCCCGAAATTGAAAAATCTATCACCAAATATTACTTGTGATTTTGAATCTGGAAATTTGCAGTACATAACAATGTTTTACATGACAAAACTGATTTTTTTTTTTTGTATGTGCATAATGGCAGATTATGTACAGCACAGTGGCATTTTGGGGGCCTGAAAATGTAAACGTTTTTAAACAGTTTTAAAAATGACGTTGACATCATGCGCATATGTATTGCTTGTTCAGTCCATGCTCTATAACAGTGGTTCTCAACCACATTCCCAGAGGACCAACAGCACTGCATGTTTTGGATGTCTCCTTTGTCTCAACCATTTCTAAATCTAGTGTGTTTGGTTAAGGAGACATGGAAAATGTGCAGAGCTGGTGGTTCTCCAGGAATGTGGTTGAGAAACACTGCTCTATAAGAATGTGCTTGAGTGGTTTGAATAACTGTCGGTGTGTTCCAAATGGGATATAGATTTGCACCTGAAGGGCACTTCAGAGTGAAAACAGCCATGGCTGCCATATTGTTGTCCCGAACCAAAGTGTTCAAAACGGTTGTCGCTAGATTAGATACACTTCCGGCTGGAAGTTAACAAAAATTATTTATATTATTTATTACTTTTCACATTAATTGTATTTTATTAACGTCTACCCCCACCCCAACCCCAAAACCAACCCTCACAGTAACGTAAAAACAGTAGTTGTACCAAGTAAATTACCCAATTAATTGTATTTTTTAACATCTACACCTACCCCAACCCTAAGCCCAGCCATTAGAGTAACGCAAAAACAGTAGTTGTACTGAGTATTGTTTATGTTATCTATTAAATTACCCAATAAATTTTAGTTTTTAACATCTCCCCCTACCCCAACCCTAAATCCAACCATCACAGTAACGTAAAAACAGTGGTTGTACCTAGTACTATTTATGCTATCTATTAAATTACCCAATAAATTGTATTTTAACGTCTACTTTAACGTAAAAATAATAAATGTTGTTATACAGTATCATAAAAAATGCTGCTATATTGATGTGCATATCTCACTTCCAGCCGGCCGTGTATCTTATCTAGACATAACCATTCAAAACTGGCTACTTTGAAGGGCCTTTCGAAATGAAGAATTTCAAAGGGTACAACTGATGGATACTTTGGGTCTTAACAATCCTATGCGCAGGGAAATTGATTGGTGACGCACCCTGCATTCCATTGGGATGGACTCATCCATAACCCTTCAAAGCTGTCACTCCAGAGGGTAAACTCTTTGAAGGGATTAGAGCATAGGGATGGAATGCAGTGTGTATGTGTGCAGGGCATTGTTGCTATACACAGTGATACTGCCATCTATTGGCCTGGCATGCAAAATACAGTGTGAAAAGGGATACTTTTTGACATGTCATCTGATTGTGAAATGTTTAAAAAACTGCTTTTATAAACATTTTTATTTCATATAAAATTATGAAAAACACCCTTGTAACAACAGCTATTCTACAGAGAATCTTTTCCAGTGCCAAACGTCATTAGTTCTGTGTCTGAAGACAAGTACATTTTCATTTTTGGGTGAAATGTCCATTAAAGTGTGAAGAGCTGAATTAAAAAAAAAAACATACAAAAAAATGATGACTGTCATTTTAGAATAGATATTGTAGTCATTTTTGTCCTCTACTACTGAGCTCTTCTCTGTTGAGTTTTAGCACTAATGATCATTAGTCAAATTTGTGTCTTGTCATTTACCGAAAACTGTGAAAGGCTCTTTTGTTAACATGCTCAGACATCCTGAGTGCTTTATGTACAAAATAAAACATCACTCTCAACACGTTTACGTTAATGTGTGTCATTTCCCTTCGTTTATTGAAGTATATCAGCGTCAGCTTAATGTAGTATTGTCTCCAGAACTGCATAGTGGCCAGTTTATCCAGTCTCTGATTGAACTTCCACCTCAAATACAGCTGTGCAAAACCATTCCCCTTTGCTTGAAGTGATCCAGTTTTCAAGTGAGTGAGAAACAATACAACCGTATGGGCATGAACATTTATGACATGCAAAACTGTACAAATTATTTCAAAGCAAAAAACGTTATCCTGTTTAAAATAAATGAGGTGGGGATGAGAACATATTTACTTGTAACGTGTAAGAGATTGCAGACATATTTAATTTCAGATTTATGTCCAAATTCATTGCTTTCCTGTAACGTCCGCTTATATAGAATGATAGCACATTGAGATAACGTAATCTTTTTAGCTTTTGGAGCAAAACAATTTAGCGATTATCTCACAATGTTTACAGAGGGTAAACGAACATTTCACACCTGTAATTTAGAAAATCACGTTTAGCACTGTTAACCCCGCATTGTGAGGCCAAAATGTTCAGAATGAAACGAAACTTCAAATGTAACGTTAACGGCTAACGTTAGCGGTTTAACGTTAGCAACTGACAGTTTTACAACGTTACCTCAGAAAGTGTTTTGACAGCAACATAAACGTTATTTCAGCGTTTGACCGACTTAAACTGTTAAATGGTGACCAACAAAGCTACAATTTAAGTAAAAAAGTGGTTTCATTTTTACCTCAATAAGTCAAGAAGTGCTTTCAGGAGAAACTTGATAGTAACATTACAGACTCGTCATCATTAATAATGTGAGGATGAAGCGTAAACAAATGGCGTGCCGCCAGTGTTGCCAGATCTGACATTTTCCAGCCCAAAAGCTGTCCAAAACCCGCCCAAAATATTTGACTTTTATTTGATTTTATTTATTTGATGTTTTATTTATTTTTATTTTATTTAAATGGAAATTAATCTAGTTAGGCTACTTTGACTGTCATATTTTTACCCATACAGCAACCAACACCAGCAGTCACAGAACCACCACTTAATATTTAATAAAAGGTTAGTATTTTCAATTTCAGAAGGTTTCTTTTATACCAGTTGTGCCCAAACTTGGTCCTGGAAGGCTGGTGTCCTGCAAAGTTTAGTTCCAACCTCAATCAGGCAAACTGGGCTAGCTAATCAAGCTCTTACTAGGACAATGGCCCTCCAGGACTGAGTTTGGGCACCCCTGTTGTACACCAAGGACAATGTAATGTAATGTAATTACAATACAATCAGTTAAACAGACTTCAGCCTTCATTTATTTGTTCAAGTGTAAAAGCTTCAACAGGCTAACGCATATATTCCATTGAAAATACTGGGGTAAAATAAACTGTCATATTTTAAAGACATGGCCTGGGAAAACGGAATTTAATGCAGTGCTTCTGAGACCCACTTTATATCGTGTATCTATCAGATCTATGGAGATCACTTTTTTGTTTTTAAAAGTGGCAATTTTATAATGGAAATACAGCTCACCAAAGCGCTGAGGCTGGCTGACTGAAATTAAAAGTGCATGTGTCTATATATGGCATTGCGGAGAAACAGATTGATAAAAGAGTTGATAAACCGCTGTGAGTTTAACTGCAGGCTCTTCATGATGAAGAGTGAAGAGGAGTCAGATTTGTGTGGGAAGTCAGATTTTAAAGGTCACAAAACACCAAAACACATTTTTTGAGCTGTTGACAGTTGTATATGTGTCCCTCACTGCTAAAAACACTATTAGGACACCTATATTTTGCTAAAAAGTGTAAATTGGTTGTTTTTGCGTTATTTCAAGCAAATTCGTACTTCCGGTTTGAAACGAATTTTTGAAGCTGCGTCACGGTCATGACATAATAGCCTGTATTCCAGCATGCAGACTGGGCGTCTGTGCCAGAGTGTGTCTTATTACGTCTTACAGTGTGATGCATTAATGCATGAGTAAGGCTTGGTTCAAACCAATCAGCGCGCTCTATTGTGCAACTTCATAAATATTCACTACTGTCACAGTGTTTAGACGACAGACACACCACGCTGTATTGGCAAAACAAGCGTGAAGTGTTGCTTTTATAGTTTGCTGCAGGTAAGTTTTGTTTTCATTTTCTCTCTGTGAGAGCGCAACCTTCCTTCACCTCCTCTTGCGGGTGACCCACGCGGTTTGTGGTATGTACTGGTCACTACTAACTGAATAGAGTAGGAGCACACAGTTGTTTTGTTAAATAAGTTGCATATAAAATTTACCTTTCAAAACCACCCAAATTTTGTCAACCCGCCAATGCCATTTTTTACCAGCACAATCAAATTCAAAACTGCCCGAAAACCCCACAATCTGGCAACACTGCTTAACAAGCTTGTACAATCATAGCGAAGATGCAAACAACGACAAAATTCTGGTATAAAAATGTGAATTAGGAAATAAAACCCAGGAATAATTGTTAACCCTGGTTAAACCCCAACCAAAATTAACCATCATTTTATATAGCAAGCGTGTAGTAATCATGTTTTTGATGAACTGATGACCACACATTTACTACAAACACCAGGTTAATTTCTGATAAGCAATGTTTTGTTTAATTTTTGTACAGGAAATTATGAACCGTGTAAAAACATAAAGTGAAATAAACCAGGATTGTGTTTACCAGGGGCTTAAAATGATCCATCAAGTATATCAAGTGTGCAAAGCCCTTTTATGATATAAATAGATGGGAATTTGGCGTAAAAAAAATAAATTAAATAAAGCAGTGAGGAACAAACAGATCCGTGCATGAGGAGACTTGCTTTCTTGTGCAACTCTGGATTAAATCAAACTAATTAAAGAAAACAAAGATCACCCTGTGTCACTTATTAGACGTGTGATTTCAGAGAAGTTTTAAAACATTTTCCTTGAACGGAATAAATGAAGCACCACAGAAGCAATTTAACAACTACATCATGAAAATAACATCCTGGCGTTGTGGAAGCAGATTCATGTAATATAGTTTAATGTTTTAACCCTACATTTAATACCAGTGGTGAATGTTTTAACACTTAATAGGATAAAATGACTGAAAATACAACTCTATTTTTTTTCTCCAGAGTGGAAAGAGCCAAATTATGTGGGTGAACTGTGTGTTTGCAGCTTCTCTTACTGCAACATTAGATGAAACTATCCAGGAACAAAAGCAAATGTCTTTTGTCTGTCTGCGAATCTCAAATTACTCAGTACATGTTGGACGAGTTCCACAATTCGGAGCAAATTGTTCCAGATTGCAGAAATGTGATATTTGTATGCAACAGTGTGCGGATGATTGTACAGTTTCGGTCAATGCATGTGAGGCATAACGTAGATTTCATAGTTAAAGCACACTTGTAGTACAACAGCTTGGCCTGCGTCTCACAAAAATCAGACAAGTTCTGTTATTAAAATAAAATAAAATACACAAGGCAGTATTGTCTCATAAACCAAAATAAAAGTCTAACACAACTAAAGCTTTTTAAATGGTCTTGGCGTGAGTATATTAAAATAATTTCTTCAAAATAAAAGCGATGAGATTTAGTTTTTCCCACATAGTTTATCTCTTCAATATTTCCTTATTATATATTATACTATACTTTTGACCTATATACATTACTGTGATGTGTGTTTTCACAGGTCATGTTGGTTGACGGAAGGTTCGGATTATACGGAGACTGGTGGTAAATGACGAAAGAGATTCCAAGATGTCTGAAAGCCTCTATAAATTCCTACAAATCTAGGACAGAAAGCAACAGATGGAGCTCTCATCCGTTGAGCTGAAGTAACAAAGGAATCACGGCACACATCACTTTTAAAAGCAAATAAAAAATATACATCATTGCATTTGTTTTTTCCAGGTTAATTAGTGGGATCCTATAATGGAATCGCCAATCCAGTACGGTCCAGAGCAGAGTGAGGGACGTGACTGTATTTTCCACCTTGAAATGGCTGAATGATAAATAAATAAAAGTTCACCCTTAACCAAGTCTATATACAAACACCAGTCACGATAAAATCTGCTGGCTTTTCTTCCAAATCTGAAGTGGTAAAACTTTAGCGAACGCATTCAACGTTGGGATGGTTTCTCCTTGGGATGTTCTCCAGTGGTGAGCCTTTATGCAAATTAAGTTGGAGGGGCCTGCAGTGCAGCTGTATGGGAGGGGGGCGGAGCACTGTGACAGGCAGACTTGAGTTTGTTGTGATTGGCTCACAGTTGAGTCCATCATGTGTCCCAGGCGGTGCGGTCTGTGCTCTCCAATGAGAGGGACTTTGTCTTGTGTGGGGAGGCGGGGCTCGGCGGGCTGCTGAAGGTGGAGCTGTTGGAGGCAGTGGAGTGCCGCGGCGAATCAGAGTCCTAGAAAACGAACACAAAAATGTATTGTAAAAACAGAAACGCTACCTATCAGCTCACTAATCAAAAGAGAGTCTACTATAAGAATCGAAGCCTAAAAAACATACATTAAAAAGACAATCACGATGACCTACTATTCAAAAGTTTTCTTGTTTGTTTTTGAAAGAAGTCTTTTATGTATTTATTTGATTTAAACCGAATTCTCTTTTCACTTAGTTCTGATTTATTTACTCCAATGATGGTTAAGCTGTCACATGATCCTTTAGAATTAAAAACCTAGCTTTTTTCAGAAGGTTACTCCAAAATTGTTCATAAACTTGTAATTTAATATGGATGCTTGTTTCCACCACACAATAAAAAAAGTGAACTGTAATACAGTGGTCCCTCTTCAGTGCTTCCCACAGGTTTGAAATATACTTGCGGTGGTAGCCGGACTGAAACACACCTTTTACCCACAGCACATAAATGGTCAACTACATGCGACAAACAAAAAATAATGTGATTTTTAACTACATTTTTATTTATTATGACACTGTTATACACCTTTTATTTTCAATAGGTTAAAGTTATTTTTAAAAAGGCTGTTAAAATAAATGAAATACACTATTTCTCTTACTCTTATGCTATTTAGGAGCCATGTGCACCCACTGACAGGTAAAGACTGCTCTCTTTTTCTCTCTCTCTAAAGTTGCTTTATTTGCTTGACATTTACAGTATTGCTGTAAATACTGACATTTCAGATATTTATAAAGTATGTAATATATTAACATCATTAAATTAAAATATACAGCAAATGAGAAATAAATAACAGAAAAAAGGTGTACTGAACAGGATACATGGTATGCAGAAGACTGATTGATAATGGTATACAGCTATTCAGGACACAGAACACATTGCGCTGTACAAAATAGGCATGTCAAATTAGACTAAAAACAAAATCAACGAAACTGCGAGACCACCAAGGTGAACCACGTTGTGGCGAGGGACCACTGTATATAAACTTGCTGTTATTGGTTAGATAGAAAGTTACAAATAGCATATTATAATTATTTTATTAGACATTTATTTATAATTTTTTATTCATTTATTTTCAATTATGTGGCTGAAACAAGCTTCTATAATTTATTGTAACCTTGAATGAAAGCATACATTACTGACCCAAAACTTTTGAACAGTAGTGCACACATGCAATGATACAAACACTTTAAGGGTGCAAATAAAAACACACTCAAGTGGGATCTGCCATTTAGCAGTTATTAACTGACGATGGCTTTGTAAACATGGCATCACTGCTTCAGACAAGTCATAAGTCTTAAAAGGTAAATATACCACATTACACAAAATAGAGAATTGGCGATTAAAGTCCTAAACCACTAAAACTTTGCAATATGCTCAGTTTAACAGGACAACATCTGAAAGTTTGGATTATAGACTGTTAAGAAGGCTCTACCATGTCTACAAAGCCAATAGGTGACACTACGAAGTAAATAAAATGACAGTTATGTGAACTAAAACAAGACATAAGACAAATGGCTCATCCTCAAAAACACAACTCAATACTCATGACCTGCGGTCTGCAGCTGTCGACTCGTTGGAGTCTCTTCACAGCAAAACTTTGGAGAAACGACCACAGTAAGGCTTAAAATATACTTTTTGCAAGTTTGTGACGTGGTGCTATAGCACTTTAGCATATCCCTCTTCATCAATACATTTACACCTAGCATTCTTCTACAATGCTGAAGTTTTGCTGCATTCCAATTGAGACAAATTTGGAGTTAGACTAAACATGGCCGCCAAATTGAAGGTGTCAATCCAAACCAAAATCAGATTAGGGTAAGGGTACAAGTGATGACACTTGAAAGACACCTTTTGACCCAAGTTTAATTTGTGAAGCAAAAGATGAAAAAGTTTGTTCTTAAGAGCAGTTCTTAACTGATCCTCTACACCCTTTACCCCTTCAAAGCTTTCTGAAAATAAACCCTTTAACAATCGGGGGTCAAAACTGGAGGATTTCTGTCCTGTAGAGTTTAGCCTCAACCGTCATTACACCAGCTAATCTAGATCAACAGACCATCTAGACTCTATTATAGAGTGCAATTAACAATTTTTAAACTGAAATCGTGATTTGAAAGTATACACGATGTTTAAAATCGCAAAAGCTGCGATTATTCCGATGTGCTGTCAAATATAGTAACAAGCATATCGTTTTTGAAAGTTCTGACAATTTGTAAGCACATTACCTTGAGCAATGTCAAAAATGTAACACAAGCTAAATGTAAAGGTTTTATTCATCCTATAAAAGATTTTACATATCATTCATTTAACTGAATTTAAAATACTGTTGTTTTCTTAATTTGTCATCACAACTGACAACTTTATTGGGAAAAATGGCAACAATGTTTAAAAGGTTTTAAATAAAAAGTTACAAATTCTAGCATATTTTGTGTTGATGCTTGGTCTTTCTTTGGTGCTGTTTAAAGCACCACATCAGATCTGTAGGTCTTAAATGAAATGATAATAAATTGCAAATCACATTATTGATCAGATAAATTGCAATTCGATTTTTTTCTCCAAATTATGCAGCCCTACTCTATTACGCAAACAAGTTGCATCTGAACTGTCCAGAAAGCTGCTCTCCAGGAGCAGGATTGAACACCGCTGAAAAAGGGTATGGAATGCAGCCACTAGCACATTTGGAGCCTACATTTGCGTACTTGCATAAGAATATTTTTCTAGCCCAGCTCTCTTTTCATCTCTTAAAGACTTGTCTTGTGGAGACAGGGTTTGGTCAGCTGGAGCAGTATGAAGGCGAAACATGCAGATGAAAGCTTGCCATTCCTCTCTACTTCGCCACAGTCACTCATGGGCAGTGGAGGATAAGGCTGTGGGCAGTGGATTCCTGAAAAGCACTCTGCAGGGCTGCCTGAATGTGCAGATGACAGCAGGCGTGTTGGTGCGTGTGTGTTTCACTGCAAACATGTGACGTTTACCTTCATCTTACTAAGCAGGGTCCTTAAAGCCCTTTTCAGATCAGGGGTCTTCTCCGAGGGCGATACTGCCTGCCACTGAGAAGGAAAGGGCAGACTGAGTGCTGGAATGGCTTCCAGGACTGTTGAAGGAGAATGGGGGTGGCCAGGGGGCGCAAAGCGCAGCGGTATGGGGAGATGACGGGTGAGATAGGGGCGCAGGTGGGTGGATTGCTAAGGATACTGTTGGATGTAGTGGAATGGGACGGCAGGCATAAAGTGGAAGAAGCATTGAAAAAGCTAGGTGAGGGGAACACAGCGCTAAAGCTTGCTTTGGGGTAAATGATATTAGAAGTGTTCCACTTTTGAATGCCTCATGGGAAGGGATGGGGCGAGCTGCTTTTTATAAGTCAGGAGTTGTGCAAAAAAATCAAACAACTTTAGGCCAACATAACGAGTGAGTAAATTACACTTGTTTGGGGAAACATTGATAGAAATGTTTGCTGACAGTCATGTCATTCAAAAGCGTTCAAAAGTAAAAGCTATCAATGAGAGAACAATGATTCTAAAAATATAACAGAAAGTATTTTTAACTGCATCTTGCTTAAAAACTGTTTGTGTATAATAAGATGTGCCTTCATGTGTCAACCTTTCATGTCTGCAGTCATCATTTGTTGCATTTAAGTATTTTGTTGTCAGATAATAGTAATGCAAGTCAAAATGCATTAAACAAAGGACTTTGAATAATATGTAGCATCTCCTCCATAAAAGAAAATGCTGTGGAAAAATTCCTTTTTCTGGATTTTTATAATATAGTAAATTATTTGGTATCACTTTATTTTGATGGTCCATTTGAGTATTAGTAGACTGTCTGCTTAATATCTGCTGATACTGCTCCTTCAACAGACATTTAACTGACTAAAAGAAACTTTGCAAGTACATGTCAACTTACACTAAACCTAACCCTAAACTAACAGTTTTTTATAATCTAATCACCATCAAAATAAAGTGTGAGCAATTTTAAATGCTGTGTATTATATATTTTATATATGATATTTTAATGACAGTCATATATTTATGTAAGGGGGTTTTCACACATGTAGTTCGTTATCTTGGTTCTTTTGGTCCAGGCCAATGAATATATAAATACTTATTCCTGTATTAATATAAATAGTCTTGGGGTTCGTTCTTCGTACCTCGCTTAAATGATCTAAGATGATTTGGCTGATCCTGGATCTGTTCATCTTGACAACTGATCTCTGGCCAATGTTTGTTGGCAAATCAGATTAAAATGTCTGGATGAACTGATCTGAGATCGCTGCGTGTGTTGTAAAGGACAGATCTATCGATCCTCAAAATCACGATCAGCAATCCAACAATTGGTTGATGGCACAGCAGCGTATTGACATCATCTGATTAATATTTAATTATTCATGTGAGCAAAATCACATAAAATTAGTAGTAAACGGTTATACCTTATAACGCAATAACTTTCCACATGTGATGTGGGCATGTTTAGCGATTTTATTTAGTTTTACATTTTAGAGCGGATTTTCTTTATTATAGTAGCCTAGGCCTATTCTAGTTTCTTAATCGGCGAATTTAAATTTATTTTGCATCAAAAAAAGCATTTCGATATCGGTAAAGGTGTGCAAAAAGCATCAAATCACCGTCATATTAGCTGTCAACACATCTGCATGACTGCATAAATTATTATTCCTTTAAAAAAAAAAAAAAAAACGAACAAAAAAACAGTTGAATATTGGGCATGTCTATTATCACACACAATTTGTAAAGCTGGGTCAGTACCTTAAAATTGTAAGCTTTTGTATCTAAAAAGTCGATATTAATAAATGTTCTCTTTGAACCCCTTGAGGAGAAACACCCCATTTTGTACTTTTATTTCAGAGTGTAGATAGCATAAGTGTCTCTTATATTGCTTTTAAAACGTTTATGTATATAAACATAAACATTATTCATTATTTAATATTAAATATTACAAATTATTATAAATTATAAATGTATATATAATTTAAAAAAAAATTATTTTACTATTTTCAAAGTGTATATAATCTATAGGTTAGTACTGTAAGAAAATATCAGCATTCGGTACGTACTTTCAGTGTTACCTTTGCTTGAGAAGGCCCGATCTAATCCTGTTTATATGAAATAAACCTGCTCCTGAGCAGGTCTGTGCTACCACACCTGTTGCTATGACAACTCTCAGATAAGTTTTAAAGAACAAAACAATCCTGGACCATGTCAAGTCATCAATAACCAAATCCAGCTAATTGAGTTATCCACGCATGAAGAATGAACCCCAGACCCCTGGTTTTAAAAACAAAACAAAAGTGTACACATCCTATATATACATAAATAAAATGACCATAGCAATCAAAGTTATCGCAAACTCTGTTAACAAAATTAATTCATTAATACTTAAGAGCCTGATCAAGTCCAGTTTTCCTTATTGACATGTTACCGAACTATATTCAAACCAAACATAAATGTCTACCGCAGATCAACTGAACAAGTTTTACAGTTGATGAATTTGATCTGTATTGTATAAAGCCTTGCAAGTCTTGAAGCTAGATGTCTAGCTGATCATGTGCTGTGACATCTCTGCATAGAGCAAATCTGCCATTGATGTGATGATGTAATGAAGTTCCCACTGTCTCGATTTCTAGATCCTGACTCACCTCTCTGTCAAACTGAGAGAGCGGCGCTTCCCCCACGTCCATCCCTCCTCCTGATGACAGCGAACTCTCGGAGGGTGAAGTCATGGTCTGCCGTTTAGAGCTGTAGCTGCCGCTGGACAGCTCCCTCCTTAGAGCACTGCCGTTCTGAGAGGACGACCCTGACATTACAGACCACCAGGAAGAAGTCAGTGTGAAAAAAATGCAAGGAATACAGAGAATGTGAAAGAGAAGCATTAAAATTTCAAATGAAATTGTAAGTGCAATTATTACAATGTACATTTATGGATGTTTTAAATTGCTTTATACCATAAAATCCTAAGTTCAAGGCATTTGAAATGTAAGTGATTTTGTTGTTAATCTTTAAGAATCCCTTATCCGAAGAACACAGACACATTAATTAACCCCGAAGCACTTTTTGTTTGATTTTAGCTTTATACCATTGTTTGAAGTTATTGCATGCCATGATATTATAAATATAACATATTTGATTGCTTTTCTCATTGCTACAAATATCAATGTTTAGTTGCTTGAAATAAAAAAATATGCAAAATGCATAAGACTGAAAAATAGAATCAAATGTAATAGTATAGCAATACCAGTTAAAGTTGACATTGTGGGGACCTTTTTCATCCCTATGAGGAAAATGTGTGTGTGTGTGTGCTTACGCATTCCTAGGCCACTGCTTGCGCTCATGGATCGCCCTGGTTCTGCTCTGTTTTTTGTAATGGAGGGGATGCTGACGGAGCCGCTGAATCCAGCACGGTTGTCCTGAGCACGTACATTCTACCGGTTATACAAAGAAACAACACACACACATACACACACAGAGCAGGGACACACAAACATGCAATGAGTGCGGCAGACATGAGATGATGAAAACATTCTATGACGGTTACATAGTGATTTTCAAGATATTACCATGCCATGAATGAACATATTAATTGAGGACCTGTAAATGAATTGTGATGTATTAGTGAATGTAGAGAACAGAGAACTGTGTACTGATGTACACTACAGTACAAAAGTTTGGAACAGGATTTTATACTCCTGAAAGAAGTTGCTTTTGCTTATCAAAGCTGCATTTATTTGACATAAGTAGGACGTTAACAGTACAAGGGAGTCATTGCTACATTTTATAAAGGCCTTAGAATAAATGTTATAGAAAAATATACTTCATACTAAATGGGAAAGAGTGCCCAGTGATAAAGCTATTTATTTTCGGCTAAGTTCCTTTATTAATCTGGGGTCGCCACAGCGTAACAACTGCCAAATTATCCAGCATATGTTTTACGCAGCGGATGCTCTTCCAGCTGCAACCCATTACTGGGAAACACCCATACACACTTATTCACACACATACACTACGGACAAATTAGCTAATCCAATTTACCTATAGTGAAAACCAGAGCACCCAGATGAAACCCACACCAACATTGATATTGATATTGATAGATGTGCATGCAAGTTACACAAAGAAATGCCAACTGACCCAGCGGAGGCTCGAACCAGTGACCTTCTTGCTGTAAGGCGACAGCGCTACCCACTGTGCCACTGCACCACACATCAATTATATTAATGTTATGGGAAAAAAAAAATTGTGGCGATAAAAAAAACAAAAGACTCTTCTCTTTTGAAGGAAAATGTTATTACAAAATCTCCTACATACTTTTTCCACACCAGAAACCTGTAGACTTTCTCCAAGTCTGCATGACACTTTGGTCCAAGAACAAACCCTGAACATTTTTTAATACGCCTAATATTTTAATAATAAAAAATACTATTGTTAATAATAGTATTATTTATTGTTATTGGATTTTGTTTATCCTATCCATCTGATTTTGTATAATGTAAAAAAGAAACAGCAGAGAAACAGCCATGTCACCCTGCAGCCCAAGACCGGTTACTCACTGAAGCTAAGCAGGGCTGAGCCTGGTCAGTACCTGGATGGGAGACCACTAGGGAACACTAGGTTGCTGTTGGAAGTGGTGTTAGTGAGGCCAGCAGGGGGCGCTCAACCTGTGGTCTGTGTGAGTCCTAATGCCCCAGTAAAAGTGAAGGGGACACTACACTGTCAGTGGGCGCCGTCTTTCGGATGAGACGTTAAACCAAGGTCCTGACTCTCTGTGGTCATTAAAAATCCCAAGGCACTTCTCGTGAAAGAGCAGGGGTGTAACCCCGGTGTCCTGGCCAAAGTCCCTCTATCGGCCCTTACGATCATGGCCTCCCAATCATCCCCTCTCCACCGAATTGGCTCTATCACTGTCCCTCCACTCCACCAATAGCTGGTGTGTGGTGAGCGCACTGGCGCCGTTGTCCTGTGGCAGCCGTCGCATCATCCAAGTGGATGCCGCACACTGGTGGTGGTGTGGAGAGACCCCCCCTCATGATTGTGAAGCGCTTTGGGTGTATGGCCATACACAATAAATGCGCTATATAAATACACATTACATTACATTTACATTTACATTTTTACATTACAAAAAAGAAACAGCAGAGAAACATTTAACCTCATCTTTTTGGAAATAGTGCATAGTTGTATATACTGCTACATCGAAATAGATTAATTTGATAAAAAAAAGAATATATATATATATATATATATATATATATATATATATATATATATATATATATATATATAAAACTATTCTATTTATTGCTATGATCCAAAGCTGTCTTGATTCTTCAGAAATATTATAATTTGCAGACTTGATGCTTAAATAACATATCTTTAAATCAATTTAATATACTATATTTACATAGATTTTTTTCCAAAAAAAAAAAAATCCAAACCTTTGAATGGTAGTGCGTGAACCAAACTTGGACAGTGATTTGATAAATGACCAGAAAAATACAAAGCAGAATGAAATGTGCATGTATTAAAGCAATATTCAGAGTTCAATATAATCTAAGATCAAACAGTATTTGTGGAACAATGTTAATTACCACAAAAAAATTATAGTTTAAAAAAAAAACACTGTGGATGATTTCAGGAGAATTACCTTTTAGCAAAAAGATGAATGTATTAGTTAGTTACAAACTAAATATTTATCTTTACACAACAAATGTCACACTAAAATCATGTTGACACACTAACTGTTTAGGTCTTCTGGCTATACTAAAGAAACAAGTGAAATATTTATTTTTGTAGTAATTAACACAGGCTAAATGCCATCAGCAGAGTTTGATCTTGTTTACTGAACCCAGATTATTCTTTTAAAGGGGTAGGCAGATCTCTCACCATTGGCAGGTCTCTGAGTATCTGCATGCCATCTCCAGGTCCCATATGAGCCACATGGTTAAAATTTGTAGGATTTGAGATCAGCTTGTTCCTCCTCTCAGGATCTTTCAACATTTCTCTGCAAACACACACAAGTCACTAAGTTAACACAACAGCCCTAGAATTATATTTTAAAAGTTAAATAAGTCAGATTTTACAAATGTAGATTTCTCATAAAAGTGTTTCATCAGAGTACATCCTTCAAACCAGAATCCAAATCCTGGTGACCAGCTCTGCTAGTCTTATCATTTATGTGTGTGTGTGTGTGTGTGTGTGTGTGTGTGTGTGTGTGTGTGCGTGTTTGACAATGACCTCCTCTGCTGCAGTCTCTCCTCCTCAGGAATACGAAACGAGAATCGTCTCTTGTTGCTCATGCTTCGCACCATCTGCTTTCTGCTGTTATCACACACTTCAGGCACCACCAGTTCATCCCCCTCTAAACACACACAAATAATGCATTATCAGACACATTATTCCAATTGCACATATTTAATATTTCAAACAGCAGTACTAAACCAAAAGCTCAAACATCAGAACCCAACAAGAGCCATGATGAATGCATTTGACTGAGTTACGAAGTCACTGCTATTACAGTACCTGCGGTCTTGTTTCTGAAGTAGATGAGTCTGACCGTTTCTAGGCCCAGGAGATTCAAAGAGCCATCCATGTTTAATGGCCGGACCTGCACAGAGACAGTGAGATCCTCAGTTCATTTATTCATTCATAAGAGGATTCAAAAAACAAAGAACAATATATGAAAAGGAAATAAAAACTAGCAATTTATCTTTACTCCGTATTATATATTTTTGGGGTGTTTTTATTGACAAATTATTTAGCTAAATTTACTTAAACACAAACTTGACCACATCAGATTGAAAAGTAAATGTTACAATTGTAAATTCCCTTACTTTTTTTGAAGGTAAAATAATAATAATTAAAATAAATACACAAGTGAGTGGGCTTGACAAAAAAAAACAACAACACTCCCCTCTCTTGCACTTAATTTTCTGAGCACTAACAGTATGTTTGTATAATTAGCACTTCTTGTGTGTACTGCCTCTTCTTGTTGAGAGACCCAATCCCAATTCTACCCCTTAGCCCTTCCCCTTACCCCAACCCCTCTTTTTTTCATCAGAGTACATCCTTCAAACCAGAATCCAAATCCTGGTGACCAGCTCTGCTAGTCTTATCATTTATGTGTGTGTGTGTGCGTGTGTGTGCGTGTTTGACATTGACCTCCTCTGCTGCAGTCTCTCCTCCATTTTTTTTTCATGAAGGGGTAGGGCTGTCCTAATTCTCTTTAGGTGTAGGGCTATGGGTTAGGGCTAGATAGCCCTTCGAATGGAGATTTTTCAGAACTACACTCGAAACCAAGGGGTAAGAAAATTTCCCAGAAAAAAACAGCCACAAAGGCAGGATAGCAGCACCCAGAAGTAAGGAGATGCACAAATTGGTATTTTTTTGTCATTATTACGATTTTTAAAAACAGACAAGCACATGTATTAATACATGTATAACTGTGTTCGTGTTTTATCGTCATGATTTAAAATAACAAAAAACGGCAAAAAAAAAAAAAAGCGGCTAAATTTCACTATCAATAATCCCTCATAAAAACTCCTGTATAGCAGTCCCACAACATTCTGACACTCGGTGACACTGGAATACCCTGTCAGAAAAGTCTAGTGGCTGGGAATGAGCTTTTTACAATGTCTGCTGTAATGTTAATGTTGTTTTTGAGTGTTTACAGCACAGGTGTCAAACTCAGTTCCAAAAGGGCCGCAGCTCTGCACAGTTTAGTTCCAACCCTAATTAAACACACCTGATCAAACTAATCGAGTCCTTCAGGTTTGTTTGAAACCTACAGGTAAGTGTGTTGGAGCAGGTTGAGTTTGACATCCCTGGTTTACATAGATGACCACTGTGGCCAATGTGTAAATGCGCAGTACAGCTACGATCTTATTGCCACATTAGATCATTATGACAAATTAATATATGCCTTCAGTGATTTCCTGAAGATAAATACCGAAAAATAGCACAACTGGAATAACTACAGCAGACACCATCATCTGATCTCATATAAAGAAAGAGATTGTGATAACATATGAGGACGTGTGCAGGTGTTGTAGTGCTGTCCCAATCTTAGGGGTACATTTTGAAGCCCTTCCCCTTCTCCTTGACCTTTAAAACCGAGTGTGAAGGGAAAGGGCTTCAATATTTACCCCTAAGATTGGGACAAAAATAGAACTGGGATTGGGCCTCTGATTGCCTCCTCAACTGTAAGTTGCTTTGGACAAAAGCATCTGCTAAATGACAAAGTATAAATGATGTATACAGTATATAAAAAAAAAAAAAACGTAGCTTTTTATTTGTTAATTAACTTCAGATTGAATCATTTAGAGAAGGCACAATTAATCAATTCTCAACATTTTAATCACGCAAAGTTGTTTAAAAAAAGTACTTACAAATGATAAAATAAAAATGCACAATTTATTTACATTACTTTTTTATTACTTAAGTCTAAAGAATTTTTTGGTGATTATTTTAAGAATAGAGGTCAGAACTATTTTCCTTTTTTTTCAAATTGTAACTATTTAATTTATTTATGTGCAGTTACAGTATACTTTTTTTCATCATTACTCCAGTCTTTAGTGTTGCGATCTATCCTGCAGAATTCATAATAATATGAATAAAATTTTATTATTTGTTTAATACTAATGTTAAAAACAGTTGTGGCTCTTAAACTGTATTGCATTCAATGAATTAATTTGAACATAGTTTGAACTATATATACTTTTTTTTTAAAAACAATTGCAAAAACCTTACTTTAGATCAACTTAATTCATTCTTACTGAGTACATTTCTTCAACAAAGTGTAAAACAGTAGCGCGTATATATACAGTGCTCTGCATTATGAGTACACCCCCACAGATCTCTCATTTAAATGAATATTTTCTTTACTATAGGTTGCTATACAATATTATACTTGTGCAAACACATTGGTTTAGTCAGTACTGAAGCCAAATCTGGAGCTTATCTAACAAAATAACTTTACACAAATTAGTAGTCCATTTATATTTTAGTAAAAAATACGAAATACAATTTTCAATAATGGCAAAAATCAAGAAAAACAAAAATAATATAAATTTTTTTGCAATATTTTGCATAAATTTAAATGCATTATCTTTCCATTTCTAAATATGTTTGGTGAGTAAAATAATATTTGAATAAATATATCTGTTTAATAAATCTATTCTGTTTAAATGCACCAAAATACATTACCTATATTCGCTGAAAACTTGATAAAAATATTCATTTTCAAAATGAGGTGTACTCAATTATGCTGAGCACTGTATACTCTCATATATATTTCAAAAGCACAAGTTTGCAACTTTTAAAAGTTTATTTATTGTAATTCATATATGAAATAAAGAATGCTGAAAATTAAAAGTAGCAAACCTTTTTGAGAGGAATGGTCTGAATCCATTCCGTAGAGTTCACATCAAACACATCCACTGCATTTTCACTGTAGACCGACAGATAGGGGGCGTTATAGCCTGCAAAAAAACAAAACACAACCACAGGGTCACAGCCCTACCCTCTGCCTCTCTTTAAAAGTCAAGCAAAAGATCAGCATCTCTTTACTCACAGCAGGCGGTGGGCGCCGCGGGCCACATCAGCTCCTGCTGGCGCGAGCGTCTGCCGTGTGTGTCAACATACACTGCTATTTTACTGAAGCAGAGCAGCAGTTCCTTATTGGAGATTTCCACAGCACAAAGGGCATCCAGGTTGTCTGTTTTAATAAATGCCAGTGTGGGGTCATCTGGATGAAGTAAGCTGGCTGGAGGTGTTTCTCCATACAAACTGTAGCGCATGAAGCCTGATGGGTAACCAACACACAACTGCTGGTTGAACAGCGCCATCCATTGGACAGTTCCTGGAGCCTGAGATACAAAAAAAGAGCTGTTGATGCTTGTGGTGAGCTTTTGGGTATGAACACTTAAAGAAATAGTTCACCCAACACTGAAAATTCCATCATCATTTACTCAACCTTTTGTTGAACACAAAAGAAGATATTTAAAAACCTGTAACCATTGACCTTTATAGCAAGTTTTTTTCCTACTATTGTCAATGGTTACAGGTTTTCAGCTTTCTTTAAAATATCTTCTCTAGTGTTCAACAGAAGAAAGAAAGAAACTAATGCATACTTATTCTGGTGAACTATCCCTTTAAGATTTCACATCAGTATGATCGGAAAGGAAGAGGTTTTGGAGACTGTACTTGTATGTCCACGAGATGGGAGTGTCGTGACTTGCTCTTGTTAATTTCGAAGCATGAGATCTGCCGTTTAATGGCGAGGCAGAAGCAGGTGACATTGCGAACCACACCGGACACCAGCAACTGGCAGTTTTTAGTATCTGCCACCTTATTCTTGTCGACCTCCCTCCCGTCGAGACCCGCCATGGAGACCAGACATACTTGTCGGTTCCTGCCCGAGATGACGGCCAGTATGTGCTCCGTGGGCATCAGTTCTACATGATGCACCTTCTTGACATCACCCACACGAATGATTTCTGGAAGAAAGAGCAAAGATGTTGAGTCTTACATTGGTTTATATCCATTTAAATCAAAAGTAAACCTTAAATACGTTCTCAAAAATAATAAATCAGCATTTAATACTGGGCAGAGAGCAGAAATTTAGACTGTCAGTGATATTTATATCGATAATATTTTTCCCAGCTTTTCCCAATTAATACATATTTTTTCTCTTCCTAGCACTCATTTCATTAGATACTTGCAACTTAGAAACTGCTCAAAACTCATTTCCAGATTTTCCTTGACAAAATGTTTGAAGTACCCATAGATAAAAAAGGTATAATGTCTATTTTATACAGGTTGGTCTCCTCTTTCTCTACTCCCTCTCTTTCCTTTATTAAACAACAGTGGGAGTGAGACCTCAATCTTGCATTCGAGGATGAGACGTGGGACCAGATTTTGTCTCTTGTTCATACCTCCTCTATCAGTGCACGACATTGCCTTATCCAACTAAAATTTGTTCATTGAATATACTGGACAAAAGTGAAGTTGGCAAAAATAACTCAAGACTTGGACCCTATGTGATTGCTGTAATCAAGCACCTGCAGACTGCAGACTGTCTTTGTCCATCAATCACTTCTTTTGACTATCAAATTTCAAGTGTTTCTCTTCTGTGACAAAGATGCACATCAAGCCGTGTCCCCTTATTGCACTTTTTGGACTTTCTCTGAATATAGCATTGTTATCAAGCTGTATTCCAAACGCCCTTGCATTTTTTTTGACACTGTTAGCAAGACCGTGTATGGAAACAAAGATTTCCCCTGAGTTTTGACAACTGGTTGTGAAATGCAATGAGTTATATCCAATTGGAAAAAATCAGTTTTACAATAAACAGCAATACTAGGGCTTTTTTTTAAAACATGGGACCCATTTAGAATTTCTTTTCTGTGCATGTCAGTATCTCTACAGACTGTCAATCTAAATCTTAGGACCTTTCAATTGTAATGTAATTAAGTACATTGTATAAACACCTGAGGATTAATGTTTGTAATATTGAGTTATCAAGGCACTAGTGTATTATGTACAGGTTTTCAATTTTTTTACTTAATTTTTTTTTATTAATTTATTTTTATTTATTTTCTTTTTTTATCTTCTTCTTTTCTTAATTCTCATCTAATGCTTAATAACTAATCTAATAACCTTAACTGTTGTGATTCTGATTGAAATAAAATACTGTGTACCTTCGGTAAAGCTGCTTTAAAACAATAATTATTGTGAAAATGCTATATACAAATCTGAATTTCAGATAGATTTCTTCAGCATTTGTAAATAATGAAAATTTTAGTTTGTTGACTTTAACTGCAGTTTGGCACTTTCAGTTTCATTCAGGAACATTTCATGCATGCCCCCTATGACAAATGAGATATTGGATGAGTTCTGCGCTTTGTAATAACTGAGTTCACAACTTGCAAAAAAGGGAGACCTGGAACAGCATAGTAAGTCATGTGACATACAAACCTTGCATGCAGGTTTTTTCATGTTTAGACACCCTAGATTAAATTCAGGGCACATATGTGCTGAAGAATTTTTTTTTTCATATTATTTTCTTATTTAGAGGATTAGGGGGAGATTATGGGGACGTTTTTGTTATATATCTGTCTTTGATTTTTCAAGCCCATCTTTCAGTTCCCTGTCCTGTTTGTCTTGGTTTTTCAAATGTATTATTATATTATTTATGTTGTACATATTGTAAAAAATATGGTTTTTGTAGGCAATAAATCTTTTGCGGTGCTAATTTGTACTGTGTTTACCATTGCAGTGTTTATCATTAGTTTATTCTTTTGATCATCTAAATGTTACTCCTTTTAAATTCCTAGACATATTTCCATCAATGGTCGTAACACCAATGAAGAAATAAAACAATTAATGAAGACATTTTTACCATCTTTGGTGACGTGGATGACAAACAGGCCCTCCTCATTGCCCAAAGCAACGCGTTCATGATCTAAACAGAGAGTGAATAGATATTAGCTCTTTTACATCATTTAGATCTGACATGACAAGAGTTTTGGGTGTCTCAGTACCTATAATAGCAGCAGTTTGGGTGGTTTTGATGAGAGGAAGTGTGCTGTCGTAGGCTTCTTTAGGCACATAGACGAAACGCTCCTTCAGCTTGTTTTTCCTCAGGATGCGATGCAGTTCATTCAGAGCGCACACCCACTTCGTCCTTTCTTGCTCGTTGTCAGCCAGAATTAGAATACACGTCTTCTGACTGGAGGAGGCGGACAGCTGAGATGCTGTTACCTAAAGAACAATGCATATAACTTATCTTAACAGCATATTTAAAAACATCTTAAAATAAAAGGACTAATGACCGCTCATGACTAGTTAATAACATACTCACATATTCATAATATACTTATTAAATTTACAAAAACATCTCTATATTGTGTTACATTAATATTCTAAATAAATAATGACTGCTAAAGAATTTAGTTAGTCGGCCTGTGGTCAATACATCATTACCTGATCGCTATTATTTGATCTAATATTCTTGAAGAAGCCACAATTATTGCAAGAAAAAGATATGATGATACTGCATGATAAATAATGAAATTTTAAATGACTATTTCAATGAATTTAAATTAGAATTATCCCAATATTTTGACAGACACAGTTATAAGTGAGTTAATGTTACGTTCCAGAAGGTAATATAATTCTTTATTTATTTTATATTTACAAATATAATACATAAATATAGATTTGTATTTTGTTTACACATCTGGATGGAATAGCTGATGTTGTGTTGCGTGCCTTGGAGCATGCGCAGGTCTCCCTCTCTCTCCCTCTCTATAGCTGCACTTGATTGGATCCAGCTGTGTTGCGAGCGGGAGCGTATAAAAGCGGATTTAAATCTTCCTCCTTTTTTAATTCTATGGGTACTGTTAAATTGTTAGATTCCGCTATTATAATTAAATATTTTTTACACCGATCATATTCCTCTAGCGTGGACAAGAGAGAAAACTTAATTAGATCAAAATCCATTTTAAACTTAAACTCCTGCCCTACCAAAAGTTCAAAGACAACTAAGCAAATTTTTTAAGAAAAAAACTATATCGAAGAACCGAGCGGACGAGCCCCCAATTGTTATGTCCCGACCAGTTTAGGGTTGGTGGGAACAATAACAAAAGTATTAATCAAACTTTTAAATAATAAATTTAGGATCTCCTGCTCAGTCCAGGTCACTTGCCGCCGCTGTTGCTGTAGTTCCGAGCGTCTTCTATCTCCTGCCACAGATTATTTGTTGCATTAGTGTGGTGCGATTGACTCATTTCATTAGCTGAACAATCTTTATTTCTTTTCTAACTGCTCGCCGTATTTAATTTGAGCCTGTTTTCACTTATTTTAAAACTATATATTACTTTTGGATAATTGAAGCTGTGTTGGGAATCACCATTTACTTTACAGGGGAAAACTCTAAATTTATTATTTGAAAGTTTAATTTATACTTTTATTATTGTTCCTGCAAACCCTAGCCTGGTTGGGACGTAACACTAAATTTAAAATGTTGCAGTTTTTAAACAATAACAATGTATAACGCTACAATAATTTCTAAAATGAATAATTTTTAAGCATTTTTCTCATGTCAGTTTTCAAAACCTGTAATAAATTGAATGAAAAAAGAAACAAAAATAAGAAATTATATTTCTATGTTAAAAAAACTTTTTTATTTATTATATTTATTTCTTTTTTATTTATATTTGCAAGTTGAGTATAAATGTCCATCATTGCTTACATATGTATGGTATTGCATTGGATATACAAAACAATTAAACATGTGAATGTGTAGAAAAATGAGTAAATAACATTGTGGACTCAAACATATTATGAGAATATGGTATTAAACTACCATAATAATAAAACTTTTGTATTTACTCAAATCTAAATATGATATTACAGATTTTTACTTTTCAAATGCTAATCCAGTTGTGTGTTATTTCTTAGCACAACTGTTTTCAAAAATATAATAAAATATAATTATTTTAAACTGTAATATTGTGAAATTATTATTATTACTAAGATAACTTTTTTTTTTTTAATTATGGTTAAATAAATGCATCATTTTCAAAAACATTTTTAAATTAGGTTTTTGATTCTCTCTACTATGTATTTACTTTTTATATTAAGTTGAAATTAACATTATGGTTAATTAAAATATTGATCATGGTAATTGATCTGAATATTATGTGTTAAAAAAATGTTCAGAACAACATTTCACAAAGAGCAACAAATGAGAATCGTCTTCATGCTCTTACCCTAAAAATACAGGGTATATCCTTCCTATTAGCATGGATGACATCAGACTCCAGAACCGAACTGGCGGAAAACTCTTCATCCCTGTTCAAAATACAAAAGAGTTAAACATAATGTATAAAGTATTTGACTTTGACATTTAATTGTCACGTTCAGATGACCGCCTCGCTCACCTCATGTCAATGACCTGGTTTACTACAACACCAGGCTGAGCACCTTTCCCTTCTCCAAGCTCATACAGAAAAAGTTTGAAGTCACAAACCACTGCCCAGACCCTCTGCCAACCCTTCTTCACCCCAGTGGGCTTCGGCACCTGAAAAAGACCATCAAATCTCAATTATAAGACATTCACTAATTTTCCTTCAGCATAGTCCCTTATTTATCAGGGGTTGCCACAGCGTGTGAACCGACAACTACTCCAGAGTATGTTTTACGCAGCGGATGCCCTTCCAGCCACAACTCAGTACTGGGAAACACCCATACACTCTCACATTCACAAAGACACTCAAACTATGGCTAATTTAGTTAATCCAATTCACCTGTACCGCATGTCTTTGGACTGTGGGGGAAACCAGAGCACCCAGAGGACACCCACACCAATACAGGGAAAACATGCAAACTCCACTCAAAAAAGACAACTGACCTAGCCGAGACTCGAACCAGCGACCTTTTTGCTGTGAAACTACAGTGCTAACCACTGTGCTAATTTGCCGCCTCAATTATATTAATAAGTTAAAAGTGTGCCCAATATTATACATGCAGACAAATGTACAACACTGGAAGAGACATGAGACAGACAGGTCTATAGTGTACAAAATATGAGGAGCAGAATATAATTTAAGGCCAATTCACACCGCACACACAAACGCCAAGAAACAAGTCTGTCTGTGTGTGTTGGATCAGTGTGTGTTACACCTGTCATCGTCTGTTGTCAATGGTTGGAATTTGATTTCTCGCAACTAAACCCGTTTGGATCATGGAACATCTGAGCAGTGTGAAATGATTTTCCAACAAACTCAGACTTAAAGGGGACCGATTATGCCCCTTTTTACAAGATGTAAAATAAGTCTCTGATGTCCCTGGAGTGTGTATGTAAAGTTTCAGCCCAAAATACTCAACAAATAATGTTTTATAACTCTTTGAAACGGCCCCTTTCAGGCTTTTTAGCCAAATTGTGCCATATTGGTGACTGTCGCTTTAAAAACAAGATAGTGCTCCCAGCCATCTTTTCAAATAAGGGTGGAGCTATAAATGTTTCAGCATAGCGGCAGTTTCAAAACTCTAATGTCAGACGGCTGCTTCTCACTCAGGGCTGTCTATGCTAATTAGGGAGAGATGATGATGGCTAATAGGTAGTGCCAGACAGAATCTGCGGACGTTTTTTGCTATTTCTGCGTAAAAAATCAGCAGATTCATGCAGAATTATTTTGGGAGTATCGTAAAAATAATAGCTTTTTAACTTTTATATAATGCTTACAATGCAAATCCAATTAGATCCACTTATTTGGTAAATAAAGCAAGTCTTTCATATAATATATCCACTGAAAGAAAATATTACATTATAAGAAAATATTACTTTACAAACTCTATTGTAAATAAATCAAATGAACACTTAAATATTAGTCAATATTACTACTGAAATTAATTTACAAACTGAATAAATATAAATTTACACACATATACACTAGTAAATACATGGACTCAACGATGGGCAAAAAAATCTGTGGATTTCTGTTTGCGCAAATTCCATATGGGCCTTCTAAAGAGCAAGTCTTTCCCCTTTTGATGACACGTACAATGGGAGAATGTCAATCAAAGTGTTTCTACAGACTGTTTTTATAAAGTGTGATTACAAAAAACAGAATTTATAAATTTTTACTATTAGACACTGCCAATATTCACAAACTGTCGCCATACAACTGTGTTTAAACCCCTTAAAGTGATTTTTGCATTAAAGGTACCCTTTAATCAGACCAGCCACCAGATAGGCTTCACAAACAAATGTCTTTTTAGCCTTGAGAAGGATGATTAATTTAATTATTGTGAGTGGCAATTGTTAGGGCAGTGTGAAAACGACAGCAATTTTCTAAATACAATGGAAAACCTTTTTTTTATTGACGCTTGTCTGTGCAGTGTGAACAGTCCTTAAGAAACTTACCCTAAGATGCCCCTCATATGCAGTCCCAATGCCCCTCTGAGTGTCAATGCCCAGTTTGCCCCTGGTCTGGTCTGGTGCGACGGGGCACACAGAAGGGGCTTTATCAGCACAAGTGACATGACAGGAGAAGCTGCAGGCTGTAAGAAGAGTTTCATTAAGTGTTTTTACCCTTTCAATAAACCAGTTTTAAAGGAGAGATTTGCCCTTATTTTGTTCTAAGCCTTGACTTTATTTCTACCATGGAACACAAACAGGAACATTTCAAAGAATTACACCGGTTTTCATTGTGTTTACCGTTGAAGACCTACATTCATATTGCACTTCTGTCATCTGGAAAACTAAAGATCCTCACCTTCGCATGTGCAGCCCTGACGGATGAGTCCCACCATGAGAGAGGTGCACTGGTTACATTTAGTGGGAACATTGAAGGACTTTACACTAAACTGGTGTGCCTTGGGCTGTGGAGTAGAAAACATCACCAATTTAATTAAACAAAACCTTTTCTATAGATGTGTAAATAGAAAAAATACCTAATTCACAATACGAGACGTTTATTTCACAGTAACAGTATACAGCTCCCATGTTGGTGTCTGTACCAAATGAGATTTATAAAGTGATTTATTTACATAGCACATTCCACGCAAGTGTGAAAATAAAACGTCAAAATTATCCATGGTCATTCAGCAAGATGGATATATTGTATGCATGTAATTTATATATTTATATATAATGTTAAAATATTTAAACTTGTTTATTTTATCTAGGTAATCAAAATGAGTAAAAACTAGTGGCTTTATGTATAGTGGCAAAGTATTAAGCATTTTTTACTTCTATGGTTTCACAGAACTATTCAAAAGGATGTTTTTCAAAACACAGTCATATTTCATTTTACTGTTTTGACTGCTTTCAAAAACATCAAAAAAACTATATATATCTTAACAGCCAGGCTGACATATTTCTGCTGTTATGATATTAATAGAGTCCTACCACCCAGGTCTATTATACAAAAACGATTAGATTTTTTTTCATCTACATGTGGCCTAAATTCCTAGTGTTACCTTAGGTGATGAGTGTCCCAAGCTCCCGTAGCCTGATCTGCCTGTTGGGGTCTGAAGACTACGTGATGTGTGGTCAATCAACTAAAAGGAGGACACACCAACACATCATCAGTGCATTTTATTACATTAACACAAGTCACGATAAGTTTGAGTTCACTTAAAATGCCCCTATTATGTTTTTTTTTTTTTTTGTAATTCATTTTTTTTTTATTGTTCAACAGCCAAGAACAAAGAACACACTTCACCCTACACATACATATGATACATGTTACATATTCAGCCACGTACACCAAGAAAATTCAACAAAGAATAACAATGTATAGCAAACATATCTGGAAATTAAGGTTGTGGTACCTTTGAATGTGCATACTTAATTATCCTAATTTTAAATGTTGCCAAAGATTATCCCAATTAATATGTACTTCTCCTTCATTGTTCAATCTCCCCAGCATATATTCGTATGATGCAATTTTAATCATCCCATTAATCCACTCCTTCATTTCTGGCATTCTGGGACACTTCCAGTTACGTAGTATCATCCTAGCAGCTGTAAAGCATCCAATCTTGAGAAGAATCCCTATTATGGGTTTTTGAAAATGCCCTTCCATGGAGTGTGTAACACAGCTCTAAGTGAAGTGAAATATCCAGCTCAGGCTTAAATCTGAAAGTGCAAAGTGTTTAAAACTATTGATTCATTTATAAAAGACTCATAGTACTTCAAATGAATCGTTATGATAACGAGTCTTTAGCTGTTTCGGTGTGACGTCGACACGAAACTTAAGTCCCGCCCAATTGTTGCACGCGCAAACCCAAGAAAATTGAAACCTGAAAAATGAGACTGCATTCTACATTACACATTATACACATAGTTCGTGTTGTCCAGCTGTGATCTGAACAACAAAAACACATGTTAACACCAGGATTAAGCAGTTTGTAATGACATTAGGGTGAGCAAACAATAATAAGTTTTTTTTATTTTTAGGATGAACCATCCCTTTAAAAGATTCCAAAAGATACCTCTATAGGCTCCATGTCACTGGCGGTGGAGGGTGAGCGAGAGCGTGAAATACGGCGAGATCTTGCGTCTTCATCTCTGGATGGAGTGTTGGAAGGGGTGAAATCTGCAGAGTCAAGCTAAGAAAAAAAAGAGAGCAATTTTTTTTTAAGATTTCAAATGACTATGAAATCAGAAAAAAAAACATGCCAGCATTCAAAGCAATACATCAAGACCATAGCGCTTATCAAGACAACAATACTTTTACTGGAATTACACCCGCTAAGCAGGAAAAAGCAAGTGCATCCAGGCTTCATGCCAATGCACCCACTACACAGAGACCACACACCAACTACACATGCAAGACAAAACAGCAGAAACAGCATGGAAAATCAACACAAACCCAGTGAACTACAAGGAAAACAGTAAAGCAACATATCCACAATTTACGAGAGTCTTAAATTTCAGAGGTCAGTAAATTCCAAATTAGTTTGCTCAAATGTAAAAATTCTGTCAGCAATTGGGTTCTGTAATAGTTTACAATTCATCACAAAAAGTATCTTTTTCAAACCAATGTTGCATTCTAAAATACAACTAAATCAGCAGTACTGAGAAATATGCTGTTTATTTCTATCATACAATTTCTAGGTAATTCATACTATTTAATGTATCTTAATTATTTAATGTAATTTAATGTAAGGCAAAGCCGTAATTTTCTTTAGGAAATGTACAATTCTAGTTTCATCATTATTACTCTATTTGTAAGTGTCGCATGATCCCTTTAGAAATCATTCTAATATGACATTTTGTATTATTGTAACAATCACCAGCGATCTAGGAACTGTAGATCACTGGTGAATTACACACACATATTGAACTATTAGTCCCGTCATGCACCTCCCACACAGCTGTTCCAGATTGACAGTGATTACCCACACACACACATACACACAACCGGAGGATAATCAAGGACTGATTACGATAACTATATTTTTCAGTTTGTGTTCATCTCTCGATGTCTGTTCAAAGTGTGGATCCAAACGCAGCAGTGAAAACATTTAATGAAAAACTATAACAAACAAAACAGTACTAAAACAGGGCAAGACAAATCAGAAAACACACAGGCAGGGGAACAAACTGAAATAGATAGTTCCCGTAATCCATCCATGATAATCCTCCGGCTGTGTGTGTGTAATCGCTGGCGATTTGGAACAGCTGTGTGTGAGGTGCATAACGGGACTTGTATTTCGATAGTGTGTGTGTAGTCCATGTGATGTGTGTGTAGTTCAGCAGCAATCTACTATCCCTAGATAGCTGATAATTGTTACAATTATGTTGAAAACAGGTGTTTTTTAATATAGGTTTTTTGTAAAAACAGTGATGCACGATTAGCATTCTTTAAAACAGTTTTAAAAAACAGAATTTATTTTAAATAGAAATCCATTATAGCATAAAATATGCTTAAGTTATTATCCAAATATAATATAGTCCTTTTGGAAAGAAAAATAAAATCTTACAAACTCCAAAAACGAAGAAAAGAGCTTGGACTTGGACAGTCTTTGTACATAAAAATGTACAATTCTAAGACTTAGACATACAGGTTTAGATCGACATTGGAGTGAGTAAATGATGAGAAAATTAATTTACAATAAACAACCTTAATATAGCTTATTTTGTATTTAGAATCTTTAAACATGAGCAAACGATGAAATTACCCTTTTATCCTTTCATAAATGTTCTTTTAAAATGTACCATAAAAGATCATGGTATGGAAAACAAACTACTACATTTAATTAACCAACCAACCCAGTTTCTCTGAAGTATACTAATATACAACACTTCAATCACATTTAGGGTATATATACATATGCATTTAAATAGATGAAAGAAGGCTCCCAAACACTTTTCAGATGCATTTAAGCTTTAAAGATCTCATGCAATACAGAAATCACCACAAATCAAAGCTGCCACCCATGCAGTTTGCAAAACATCCCATCACAACCACAGGAAAAAAAAATGCCAGTGCAATTTTTGTGTGACACGGGGAGGGGGAAGTGTCTCTTACACGTCTGGTTTTGCTTCCGGGACCAAAAGAGGGTGAGCGCTTCATGTGAAGAGAGAGAGAGAGAGAGAGAAGATGAGAGGAGAATCAGATTTGATGACCAATGTCAGCTGGATAGGATCAAGGTCTGGGACAGCAGGTAGGAGAACAGAGGGAAGGGAACAAGGGCATGTAAAAACACGTCTAATATGGGGTTGGATGTCTGGGCATAGTTTACACGCACAAAGGATTCGCTTCACATCAAAGAACTTCAAAACTCACTATCACAAGGATCAGACAAAGAAAAATAGCACACTGAACTATGTTGTCGGTAGAAACTTCAAATCAGTTTAATGCTAAGTCCAAAATTGAAATGTAGCAATAAAGAAAATCAGTGCAGTTTACCCGATTTGTCTGCGCTGTTTTTATGCTAACCTTTATATCAAAATGACTTAAAAAAAACATGTCAAAGCGATTTGATATCAATTGACTACCTTTAACTGACATCTAACGATCTAAAAATCACCTAAAAACACCTAAAAATCAATTACAAGACTGTCCTGCAACACATTTCTGAGGTGTTTTTTGATGACAATGTTGGAAACAATGCATTTTTTATGTGCGTATAACACCATGTTATAACTACACGCGACAGGATACCGCAACATGATATAAAAGGTATCTTTTTCATGCTAAAAAGATTTTTTATCCTAACCATCTGTGATGGCAATGAGCGAAATTTGGACTTTAGAAATGTTTTCTATTTCTGCTATGAACAGCACAACAGCATATGCTACTATAACAAAGATCACCGCAGGTACAGATTATGTGCTTTATTCACTGTTAAATGCTCTTAAACTGAATTTGAACATCTTTTTACGTGACATTTATTGCCATACTACTAAAAGCAGAGAATAAAATAAAATAAAATAACTAGCAGTGAATTTCAGAACTGTGATTGAGTGCAAACTAACAACATCAGTCACTAAGTAGCCTATTACTAGAGGTTTAATATGTATTATTTAGATTAAAAGCCTTTCGGGATTTTCATTGGGAGTGCTGTGGCTGGTATTTAAATGTTTCTGTTATTTCGTGTTGGTTTTGAATATTGAATAAAATATTTTCACGTCACAGGCTATTCAACGTAACATTACAAAATAGTGAATTAAATTAGCAACTTGGAATTGAAGCTTTCCGATAAATAAAACTTTTTTTTATATTATGTTACTTTTTGTGTCGTTAATTAAATCTTTCCCAAGCCTATTCCTGCAGGCACACCAACACTACTAATATTTTATATTGTCTCCCTTATCTGACCTTTAAACGTTTTAAGGTTTTGGAGACTCTTATAATGTTCTGATGAGTTGATTCAGGAGTGTTTGATTAGGAAGAGGTTGAAAATGTGTACTGTTGGTGTGTCTTCAGGAACAGGGTTGGGAAACACTGCGTTATTTTGAACGTCTAATTTACGAAAAGATTTTGACATCGATTTGCATTTATTTATGTCAATTTGATGTTGTTTTGACATCAAAGCGCCCGTTGGAAAGTCACATTTTTTGCTATTAGCTCAGCAACATGTCAAATCAATTGCAAGTGAGTTGCATTGGTATGGTGATTTTTTTCCTTGAAGAGTTTCATTACTGGAGTATCTGGTTTTTGCTCATCTGCTTTTAAATGTATAAAATCAAAGACACTTCTGCAATAACATGGCTGGAGAACTTACATCTTCCCAAAATTCAACTAAAGAAGATGAAGAGGAAGAAAATGAGTCCTGATAGACAACAGAATAAAGAAAGAAAAAAAAAAAGACCATTCACATTATGACAAAATTCTGAAACAAATAAAACAGATCAGGAGGCATCAGAATAATACAGAATATATGTCAAAAAATCATGAAGAAAAATTAAGAAAATAAAACAAGATTAAACCTCTATGCAGATGTGCTCATGAACAACACCTGGCATCTCAAACTTACATCAAACTGATCCAGTGCAGAAGTGGGCGCATTGAGGAAAGCCAAAAAGGAATTTTGGGAATCCTGGTGCTTCACGCCTACAAGTGAGATTTTTATAAAGAAAAGGCATAATTTTACCACCATATAGACAGCAATGCAATAACTGTGTATTAAGCAATGATAATAGTTGTGGGTAGTGTGGATAATTGATTATTACCTCAATATTGTTACTATTAACTGAAATAGTTTTGTTCATTGAAATAAAACTGATGGGTAAAAATAAGGGTCAACTACGAGACATGATTTTGATATGTACATCAAATTCAATTTACAAAGGTAATTTTCTAATTAAAAAATTTAAAATGCCTATTACATACAAGAAACTGTTCAGCATTCTATATTTATGTCAAAATTAGAGTTAGTATTTTTTTAAGCATTTAAAAAGTCGATGGTTTGTAGTGATTTGAAGGATTTTTTCAGGGTTGCACTGTGACAATGATATTTTATTATGTATGATACTTTAATGGTACTTTAGTTGTAGGACATTTAAAATAATGATAAGCAGGTGAATAAGTTAAAAAGCCTTAAATACTTTGAGTGCCTTGGGCATAGGAATTTTTGTATGTCCATAAAACTTATTTTGCTGTTAAAACATAAAAAAATGATAACTGAATATTACAAAAAATGCTGGATCTGTTTTTGCAAATTAAGTTGTGTGTGTGTATATACAGTATATATATATATAAAACATGATGCCTGAAATTGTTAGATAAGATTTGCAAAAACTCAGTCAATAAAAACATTAAAGCTACAAATGGAAAAAAAGTATTATAACAATTACTTTCAAAATCAAATGAAAACTACAAGAAAAGAAACTAATTCAAAATATTAACAAAGCCTTTAAAAGCATATACATAAATAATTATGAGAGCTTTTCACCTCTCCTCAGCCTTAGCTCCTCTGTCTCCTTCCTCAGTCTCTCAATTTCTCCCAGCAGCTCCTGGTTTCTACTTTCGGATTCTTGCAATTTGCTGTACAGAAATAACAGACCGAAAACTGTGTCACCCTATTTAAGTTCACCTCATTCAAGACAAGAGTGTGAAGAAAATAAGTTACATTCAGCTAAGGGCCTGTGCAACAAACTATCCACATAATAAGTAAAAGAATTATCAAACCAAATTTCTAGTCTCAGTAGAAATTAGCACAACAGTGTTACAACAGGGTTTCTTTCTTTCTTTCTTTCTTTCTTTCTTTCTTTCTTTCTTTGTCTTTCTTTCCACAAGTGGAAATTTATCTTTGGTTTCACCACATAATTACATCAGTATTCATATCACATACATCACAAAAAAAAGCAAGCAACACAAACATATTCAATATCATCGCATAAATCACATAAAAAAAAACAAAAACAAAACTCAATTAACTCTATTCATACTTGAACGCCAGTATTTAAAACTCTAATGGCAGTTGGCACAAATGACATCTGATAAACATTTTTAATTTTTCAGATTGCCTAAAACATCTTTTTGATGGCAAAAGCTGAAATTTTAGATTTAAAGGATGGGAACAATCTTCAATAATGACATGAGCTTTCTGTTCACCTCTCATTATAGATGCATTTCATTTAGTTGTCTTTTTGCTTTACCTACAGTACAATAGCACTGGCAACAGTTTTTTCACAGTTTTTTGTTTAGAATTGTAGTATTGTAAAGTATTATTATGTTGTCTAACTGGCGAATGACATGATCTAGTGGGTCTTTGTCACGTTTAATGTGCAAGTTCTAGTAAATTGTTACTACTTAACACATTTTTTAAAATGAAAACAGTCCATATTATGCAATCATAATAAAACTCACAACAGTTTCGACCAGATTCTTAAATACCATGTCCAAAATATTGTGGCTCACATCTTTTTAAATCTTGTAAAAAAATCTTGTTCGCCTATCCAAACTCATCTTTATTTTGTATTTTCTATTGGATTTAAATCAGGTGATTCGCTGGGCCATTCTACAGCTTGATTTTCTTTCTCTGAAAGCATTTGAGAGTTTCCTTGGCTGTGTTTTGAATCATCGTCTTACTGAAATGTCCACCCTGGTTTCATCTTTTCATCCTGAATATGTAGATGTTGGACTGAAGCAGCTAGAATTCATTTACAATGACGAAGGGCAGAGGGTTGCTTAATAACTACTGAGAGATTTCAGCTGCTGTCTGGGCTTTACATGCCTTTCTATACCTCCCTTTCTTCATGTGTTCAATACTTTTTTTTCCCTGTGTCATTTAATTTTATTACACATAGCTTAATTTGTAAACTAACTAGATTTTTTTTTCTTTTCACATATGTATTAATTTAATTGTTATCAACATCTGGTGAAAAGTTTAAGTCAACTGCACCTTTAGAAATACGTTTTCTGGAAAAAAAATGTGTTAAATACTGATCTCCCTATAAATGTTCCTAAATATTTAAAACATCTCGCTGTGTCTGTGTGAAATTATCTGTGTGGTCTCACCATTCTGTGGCAATGTTGGTTGCTTTGACTTTGTTAAGCTCGTCTTGGATGGACTGTTTGGCTCTGATCTCAGTATCCAGCGCCGACTGCAGCTCCAGACGCGCAGACATGTCCAGCTTGGCGAAACGCCTCATCTTCCACGGCATGTCCTGACAAATCCCAAAAAAAGAGACCCAGCGCATCAGAAGATAAGAGTTTGCATGTGTTTCATCCTATTTGGCTGTGTGTTCACGTGTCTCACCGTTCCTCTGGCTCCCAAACTGGTGTTTCTGAGCCCTTCCAGCTCCTCTGTCATTTTGGTGGCCAGAGCTTGAAGGTAACCACGGGCATCCTTCTCATCGCTCACCCTGCACAGATTATCTTACTTTACTTTACCTTAAAATACACAATAAGAGATGTGCTGATATTCAGTGATACAATATGTTGTGATGATATTGTTATTGTAGGCAGTTTCGAGTGCAAGGCTGCACAATATACAATTTCAGCAATAGTCACATCGCAGGATATCAATGTTGAGTCTGGATTATAACTTATCATTTGCATGTGTTTTTGAAGACTTTATGAGGATTTGAAAAGCATTCGGGCATAAGAAACTGTACCGTTTGTAGCTTTAACGGCGATGAATTTTACTAAATTGTTTTTATTTTTATTATTTAAATCCTGAACCTGAAAACTGTTAGACCCGGTAAATGATAAAACACTCTATATTTTAATTGTATCTTTTTTGTTATTGTATTTATTTTTGCTTGTAAATAGTTTTTTCGACTTTATGCAAAAGCTTTCCCCTAAGGAATCCTCCCAATCCATCTAAAATTATAACATATTGCGCAGAATAACAGAATATTGCAATGTTAAATTTTCCAATATCATGCAGCCCAAGTTGAGTGTAATTAGTTACTAAGTTACTACTGTAGCTAGTATAATTAAATTATAGTAGTGCCTCCTTTTCCAAAAATACTTGGTATAACTTTTGTTGTGAATATGGTGACAGCTACCTGTATATTTGGAATTACCATTCAACATTATAATCCAAGCAAATCCAAGTCTGATGCTCGTGCTTTTTGTTGTCTTCTGACTAGAAGGCTAATTCTGTTTAAACCTTCAACATTTAAACACTGGATTAAAGATGTTTTGTATAACATACAATTAGAAAGACTTTGATGTTCTATGAAAGGGTCACAAAAGAGATTCTTTACTACTTGGCAACCTTTTTTAACTTTTCTGTTGACCAACTGAGCTGAATGTACATAGTTTTTTTTTGTTTGTTTGTTTTTTGGTAAGTCTGACTGATATATGGGGTTTGCTTGATTATCTGTTTTCTTTTAGTTTTTTTGTTCTGTCTAAAAAGTTGAAAAGATGGGATTTTTTAAGTGAGAAAAATTAAATGACAATTTGAGGAGCAATTACATTTGATTTTTCAGAAATGAAATTACAGTTACTATCAAAGTAGCTGCCTTAACTACTGTAAATAAATCCAACAGTTCTGTATATATCAGATCATCAGATCAGTTGTGTATACAGTATATCAGATATTTTGCAAAACTGTATCTTTTAATTAAAGTAAGTAACATTTGAACATGCTTAAGAAACAATGAACTGAAAAAATTAATTTAATATGTATAAAATGTGGTGTCTGTACTCTGAGAGATTTCTGAATAGAGATTATTCAGAGAGAGATTACTCTGAATAGCTTTTCTTAAGTATTTTCCAATTAAGTTAATAAGGCCCTGTTAAACTCAAGTTAAAAAATTAGGCTGAATTTCTATTTTCTATGTGTTGAGATTTATACAGATTATAAGTGGTATAAGTCATGTAAATAAATAACTGATTAATTAAATTACTTTCAGACAAAGTAAATAGAAAAATCATTTAAATAAAATTTTAATGATGTAATTAGTAATTAATTACATTTCGAAGAAACTAACCAAACACAATTAAATTACTTTCAGTTAAGTAATTAGAAAAGTAATTTAAATATAATTTTAATTATGTAATTAGTAATGAATTACTTTTTGAAGTAACTTAATCAACACTGACTGTATGCTCTTGAATAATTATTTATTATTTATCATCCACCAACAAACCACTTAAACTCTTATTTGACTTTGATGATTATTCTGAATGTAATGTGATTTTATTTCTTTTAAAAAGGAGATATCAGTATTTTGAATAAAATTCTTGCGAATGTTAAGATTAGACACTGATAATCCAGTAATGACATAAATCAGATATGGATAAAGGTCATGTTGTAGTGTTAGTGTGTGTGAAGGTGTAATGTTGCATGGCTGCAGGCAGGGGGCTCCACTCACCACTGGATGATCTCGGTGATCTGGGCCTCCCAGTGGGCAACACTCTCCTTCTTATCAGCCAGTTCTCTCATCTCCTCCTCCAGCTGCCGGTGACTGCTGCTCAGCTGCTCGAACTGACCGTTCAACTGAAGACACACAGACAGACCACAGATACAGAGTAAGGATGAGAGGATGTTGACAAATGGCGGTTATATGTGCTGTAGAACTGATACTGTTATATGAAACTAAACCAAACACACATTCATGTTTAGATATTTATTAGACAGTATACAAGTGTTTATTGTAATACGAGATATATAAGATTTTAGACCTAAACTTAAGAGGCAATTCATTTTTAATTATTGGTTTAGGGTTACTGAAGTTCAAAACTACTATGAAATGCTAAATACTAAATATGCTAATAAGTACTATTAATGTTTTAAGGTTACTGAAGTTCAAAACTACTGTGCTAATAAGTACTTCAATTACTTAAACTATGTATACAAATAATAAAAACATAGTACAGGTTGTAATTGTTAGTGCATTTCACATAAAGGGTTAGTTCACACTTAAACTTGAAAGTAAATTATTTTTAAATACATATTTTTAAATATAATAAATGTCATTGAAAAAATTACTTAAAAATATATAATTATTAAAACAATAAAACGATAAAAGCACATGAAAAAGAATTACCAACAAACTGAACACTTCGAATAAACTTAAAATGGGGCTGCACGGTGGTGCAGTGGGTAGCACATTCACCTCCCAGCAAGGTCACTGGTTTAAGCCTCAGCTGGGTCAGTTGGCATTTCTGTGTGGAGTTTGCATGTTCTCCCAGTGTTGGCGTGGGCTTCCTCCGGGTGCTCCGGTCTCCCCCAAATTCCAAAGACATGCGGTACAGGTGAATTGGGTTAGCTAAATTATCCCTAGTATTTGTGTGTGAAGGGAAGTGTATAGGTGTTTCCCAATGATGGGTGGCAGCAGGAAGGGCATCCGCTGCATAAAACATATGCTGGATAAGTTGGCGATTCATTCCGCTGTGGCGATCCTAGATTAATAAAGGGACTAAGCCAAAAAGAAAATGAATGAATGAATATCTGAGTTTGGTTGTCGACCAAAGGGGATCTTTTGCATTAATTTCTTGTTTGTTTGGGAAATCCACCACCCAACAACATTTTTTTCCGTTTATTATGCCTATGTTGTTTTCTTCTAGACTTGGGGCGTAATAGTCTCATCAAAAAGAGAATATTTCTATCGCAGAAATGTAAGGCTCTGCCATCTTCCTTTCTGTCTGTTCCTGCAATCTCTCAATGTGTGCGGGATTCAATGTGACTATGATCTTTTAAATACAGCAGTTAACTTTTTAAAAGCTAATTAACTAAACTAAAAACTAACTCGCATTACTTTTTTTTTTTAAGTAAACCAAATAGTTTTACTTAACTTTAAAAAGTAATGTGTTACTTTACTCTTTCCACACCCCTAAGACCTTTGCTCATCTTCAGATTATTAAGATATTAACTCTCGGATTTTATCTCAAATATCTTACTTTGTGTTCCAAAGAAAAATGAGGTTCTCAGGGGTTTGGAACAACATGAATATGGATTATTAATTAAATCATATTTGGTATTGGGCGAACAAATTATTTTAGTAAAAAAAAATATACAAATAGCACATATTATTACAAATAAAAACATATTTATTTTATCATCTGATCGATTTGAAAAGTAACAGCACAGATTGTCATATAGCCCAAATCAACTCTGGTTATTACTGATTCTATCTTCGACAGGAAAGTGAAAGCTATACAAAAGACAGGAAGCAAACATAATACGTTACACCGAGTCTACACAAAACCTCTGCAGAGCTCTTTTATAGGAATGTGAATTTATTCAACCACCTCACATCCTGCTTCAATTCCTTCCAAATGCCATCGTTCTTGCTTATGTTTCTAAACCCCGTCCAATCTGGCATTTGACATGACAGCCCTGGCCTGCTCCGCTATTGTTTTAAACTGCCTTTTGTGTTTTAGGTTTCCAGGTATTTCTTTTTTTGCGGAATGAATAATGCTTAATATCCATGCCACCAAAAATAAGGAGTCCTTTAATATCTGATACGTCCAAACTTGCAGAATTATTTGACTGGCTTATTCCGATTTTACCCCGCGGTCCAAAGAAAACAGTGGCTGAGCCAAGAAGCAATTCAGTGTAAGTGTGTGCGGTTGCGATCTCTCTCTAGGAATGTCAGCGGATTTGGAGAAAGGGTGCCAGAGGGAAGGGGGAATTACAGAATAGGGGGGTTTGATGTATGCCTTTCGTGATGAGAGAGAGAGACGCATAATGAATATCATGAGCACATGTGTTGTTGAAAGCGATAGAGATCTTACCTTCTCCACTTCGGCACTCAGCTTCTTGTTTTCGTCTGTCAGATGGGCTTTTTCCCTCTCGTACTTCTGCTTGTACTCGCACACAAATTCTTCTCGCTCGACTTGACTGTTGAAAACACAATACCGTACAGGAGGTGTTTATGGTACACTCGCATTCCATTAGGTTATTTAATATAAACAATTCAATGTACAGAAACTCTTTGGTGACTCAACAAAACTGATGAAGGACTTCATATATCATGAGAATGAGCTCTCCACAAACCACAGTTTATTTTTTTTTCAGTGTGTTGCATTAGGGATGTATGATTTCCATGATCTGACAAAATTCAGACAGATTCGGATGAAAAAGTAGTGCTGTGTATGAGAATAATAAAATAAAACCGGACCAAATATGTCTGTATGTTTTGCATGTCTGTGAATAAACGTTGTTTGTTTTACTTTACATAGTGACACTACACACAACGCTTGTGGTGTTTTTAGCTTCGAGAGTTGCTAAATAAAAATAAATTCTAATTATAAAATTGTCATTTTTAGATTGCTAAAATATAAAATATTTTAATATATTTTTCATCTGATTTTCATTTTGGCACCATATGCTTATCTATACCAGGGTTTGACAATGAAACGCAACACATTTAGTGTTGGAGGATTTATGGCTAAATTTGACCAGCCGGGTGGCCAATCTTAATTGATTTCACCAGTAAGAGCAGAGTGTGAAAGTTTAATTTGCAGAGTAATAGCACAGTTTTGCTTAACATATCTTCATTGTCTTTCTCATATCTGGGAGAGTTACGGTGTGGAGAAATCCCAATGAAGTGGAACACCCAGACTGTTGCATGCCCAGAGTGTAGCATGAGGGTGGATCAGTGATGGTTTGGGCTGCAATATCATCGCTTTACCTAGACTCAATACTTGAGCTAGATGGGCGTGTCACTGCCAAGGACTACCGAACCATTCTGGAGGACCACGTGCACCCAATGGTTCAAACATTGTATCCTGAAGGTGATGCTGTGTATCGGAATGCAAAATTACGCAGAGCAAGACCGGTGACGGAGTGGTTTGATGAACATAAATCTGAGGTTGAAATGAAACATCTTCCATGGCCTGCACAGTCATCCGATGTAAATATTATTGAGCCACTTTGGGGTGTTTTGGAGGAGTGAGTCAGGCCACTATTCTGCCAGAAGAATGACTTAAAATATATAAGTCTCAGCAGTGGAGGCTGGAAGCTGGCCTCAGCGAAGACTCGTCTGTCCCTGGAGCGTCACTGGAATCAGTCTCATGCTCTCCACTCCCCTATGACCAACAGCGCAGCAGCAGCTCAGGATACGGCCTGGCTTCTAATGCACGTAACTCCTCTTTGCCACTTATTTAAAATGTAAACGTTGATAAAAGATCTCATCTCTAAAGGAGGAATTTGCCATTTGTTCACCACTTGCTTCAAAAAGTGTTTAGCAGCTGCATCAGCTTGCTCATTTCCTGAAAGCCCAACATGTCCTGGAACCCAGCAAAAAAATTATATGATAAACTGGCTTTGTAGATGGCGAACTTTGGTTGAATTACTACCAATACTGTCACTTGGAGACATGATTTGCAGTCTGTAAAAATAATAGAGTTCTTTTGTTGGACATTTTCTATATATTCCAATGCTAAAAGTAAAGCACAGGTTTCAGCTGTGAATATGGAGCATTCTTTAGGCAGACTGATTCCATAACGTGGTTGTCCAGTCATCAATGCTGCTGCTACGCCATTTTCCACCATTGAACCATCTGTAAATATTGGTGAATGTAGAGAATATTGGTTTCTAATATCCAGATATTGTCGTCTATATACATTGGGATGAGTTGCTCCTTTCTTCCGATGTCCTTAATCCATATTGATTATGGGCTTCTTTAAATTCCAATGAGGTAGGGAGCTGAAGTTTGATTTAAAATGTCCAGGTTTAGGTAAAAATTGTATAAATGTGGATTAATACGCAAACCAAATGGTCTGATGGTTTTTGCAGGAAAGGTAAAGATTAATAATAAGTTAAAAATATGGTAAAATACCATGCAGGTTTTAGGTAATGTTCCGAAAAGTAATTAGCATTTTTTACACCCCCAAAAAGAAAACATATAAACGAAACAAATGGCAGAACTACTACATTATTCTCACACAGGACCGTTTGAAAGCAGTCGCCTGGGGCCTCATGTACGAAGACTTGCGTGGAAATCTTACTAAAACATTGCGTACGCACAAAGCTGTAAATGTGCGTATGCAGAAAAAAATTCAGATGTGTGAAACAATGCGTATGTCGAATCTCCCTGCCTCTCCTAGAGTGGGAGAGTTTAGCTGACGCGGTTAACACAGTTGGGTCTGAACATCGCACTGAGTGCATTAAAAAAAAAAAATAGTCTGGTTTATATCTGTAAAATGTTGCAGCACTCTTAACAGTTTCAGTGGCACGCTCATAAGACGCATATGGTCATGTTTTGACACGTTCGAGCATGAACTCGGCTCGAATCCAGCGTCTGATGAACTCTTTCTTCTTTTTTTCCCCCGCTACATATCAGATTTTGCCTACTATTTATTACGAGAAAGACAAGTAGGAATCATCAATAAGTTTGTGCATATTTTATTTGCACATTTATTGAATGGAAATGTTTCTGATTCACGAATGCAAATTCATCTTCAGATGGTGCCTTTATAGCAATGTGCGTGCAGTAGATAGCTCAGATTACATTGGGAAAACAGGCGACCGCTGCAAATTGTGCTTTAATGTTTAGCTGCTCAACTGTATGGTATGGAAACCTTATATACCTGCTAGATGAACCCGTCTCATACAGCTGCGATTGCAAGGCTCAGACACTTTGTAGAGAGGAATTTAACACAACTGCCTCTAGGAGTCGCCAATGGAAATAAAACAGACACACACAAAAAATGTGCGTACGCCTGCCAGAAAGCTGCCGTGAAGCTGCGCACATTCCCACGTTCAGTTCATTGTTAGTAAATCCAAACGTGAGCGATTCTGAGCGTGAAACCTGGCGTACGCAAAGTTTTTGTGCGTACGCAGCGTTGATACATGAGGCCCCTGGTACTGAACACCAGTGTGGAAGAAAAAATAGACTAGACTCTTTATGCTTTTAAAAATTGGATTAACTTGGTACTGAAGGCCCGACAACAATTTTGACAACACGATATTCAATACATGGAATTTAAAATGTATGCCTTTAAATGTCATATAAATACAAACTGCGGTTCGTCAGACTGGCCCTTCTTTTCTAAGTTGGCAGCATACAAGATGAGCTGTAAATGTCTTCTCATGCAAACACAGACTATGCCAAGCTGCACAATTACCTGATAAATAACTAAAAGATAAAGGGAAATGGAAATGTACTTCACACAGATATCTGCTCATGAATAGCCACACACACATACTGTACCTTTCTCTGCGAGTTTTCTCCAGTTTGTCTTTAAGCACGAGTATCTCTTTCTGATGTGTGAGGTGTTGACCCTCGGCATCCCGTAGCTCTTTTTGGAGGTTCTTCATCTCACTGCTGTGGAGCGTCTCTCTGCGACACATCTCCTCCTCGTACTGTACGCTCTTCTTCTCCAGTTCAGCCCGAACGCGCATCAGCTCCTGCTGCTGGTCTGAGCTTGCAGCTCCGTTAGGAGGCCCAGTCTGCTTCAACTGCTGCAAGACCACAAAGACACACAGCCGTGAGTGTAAAGTAAAATACAATATCAAAGCCACTGTAAATCGGAAGTTGCTGCTGACTATTTTAGTGTGAAAAGCATTTTAAAGTAAAAGAGAATATTGAGTAGGGGGTGGGCTTTTATTTTGCAGTCCTCCATTCATCTTTCACTGACAGCAAACTAACGGTTTCACCTAAGCATAATTCACCCAAGCCGTCAAACTCAGAGAAAGATGTCATCTCTGATCTTTTGACATTAAAATAGTAGTTCATCAAAACAGCTTTCTCTCAATTCACATTTAAAACTTTAAAGCAATTGAAATATAAAATTATTCGTGATAATTATTCATATGGACTGATATGAAAAATCTTGTCTTGATCATTTTGCCAGTCCTACTCTAAAGACAACAAGACAAAATTTGATGCTGGATTATTAGAATATATTAAATGCTGGATTTTTAGACTATATTGGATCTAATAGTAATGTCGCTCAACCACACAAGTCTGAGAAAGGCCCCATTTTTTATTAGTTTTAGTTTTAGTTTATGTTTTAGAACGTCAACGATCCATATCCATATATAGGGCCCTATCATACACCCGCACAATAAGGTGCAAGACATGTTTGGCAAGATTTGTTGCTATTTTCAGACAAGTGCAACCCTAATTTTGACGTTTTGCACCTCGTAGTTTAAATAGCAAATCCATTTGTTCCATATTGTGGACTCAAGGGTGTGCTGGTCTAAAATAGAAGTGTGTTAAGACGTATCGTTGGCATGTTGCTATTTTGAAGAACTGAAATAGATTGCAACATTGTCCATCTAAAAGCAGGTCTAAAGTCTAGCGTAGAGCGTGTTAGTTATGCGCCTATGCGGGTCCGCTAAGACATCGCTTAATATAAACAGTATGTACAGCAATACACAAATATCTTTACAAATAAAAAAATATATATTATTTTCTACATAAATATATAAACCACTGCCTAAATGCCTCTGGGTTTTTTCAGTTTATTCATGACCATTTGCATTTGTATAATGTTCTTATTATTAGCAGTATTATTTATCAGTTGCATATTTATATTAGTTTTAATAAAAACAAGTTTAGATTCCTCCACCTGTCGGGTTTTGGCGATGTATACATCACCATATGGGGCATAAGAATAAGATGAGTGTTTGGATATAACTTGTTTATTGATCACATTTTGTTTGAATTTAAAAATAGTTTTGAAACTAATATTTGCACTTAACAAATGCAATCAAATATGTAGGCTAATGGATGTCTTCAGTGGATTGCATACAACAACGTTTCTTTATCCACTAAAGTAAAGGAGTAAAAAGTAAAAGTAAAAAGAAAAAGTAAATAGGTTGAATGAAGGAGGCTTATTCTTTATTCTTGCGCTGCAGATGTTTTTTTCTTTTCTCGATGGTGAAGCATTCAGTTTTACCACTAACAAAGTCATGTTAATAGCAAATGCACTATGGCGTGACACAACTGCCTCTTAACGGGAATGGGAGATGAGACTCTGATTGATTTAATGCATGCTATGCTTAAAACCCACCAATAACTCATTAAGAAATTAAGCACAGCCCTGGTAGACCATGCGCCTGGGCACAGAGTTTAATATTCCATCCTTAAAATAGCAAAAGTGGATTCGTACATGCTCTTGACTTTGCACCTAGATCGTTAAAATAGAGCCCATAGTGTTTCATCTAGTGTGAAAAGATCTCTGGTTACACTATATAGCAAAAAACATTTATCACAGTCAAAAACTCTGGGGTACTGTGGATGGAAAGTGTAACCATAGCAAAAGATATGCATTCTAAAACTAAAATGCATTAGTGCAAAAGAGGCCTGTTTTGATTAAATGGTCACTATTGCTTTGACAATTCTTACAGGTAGTTTACTATGTACTGAGTATTTTAACTTAAATCATAGCAGCATACATCTATAAGGATGTACAAGATAAACAAAAAAGGCTGCACAGTGTCACCTTCATGCCCTCGAGCTCCTCCTCTAGTTGTTTGCTGTACTGTTCTGTTCTTTCTCGAACCTTTCTCTCCTTCTGAGCTTCTGCTGCATGTTCCTCAGCCTGGGCCTCCAACTAAGTAAAAAATCACCACAAAAATTCAATACGCAGCCACAAACACGACACGATTGCAGGGGCAGAGCATCAAAATGAAATCTATTTTGGCTTGGCTTATATGACGATTTCAGACATTTCAAACGATTTCCAGTGTGCTTCACATTTTTAAAACTTATATTTAATCATTTAGCAGATGCTTTTATCTAAAGCGACATAGTGAGTATAAAAGAAGCACTTCAAATCCTCAGAGATTTGCAGTATATAAATGCCAAGACAAGTCCAATTTATTATTATTATTTGTTTATTTATTTATATATGTGTTTATTTATCAATATTTTGTAATAATTTATTTTTCTTTGAGCATACAGAGAGGAGAGAGTGTGTCCTACAGGTGGTTTGTCAGGCCCACTCAGATGTAATAGAGCACACTGAGAATCGCACAATGTTTTCCAAGAAGTATGGGGAGCTTAAAAAGGGTTTGGTGCACTTTGGGAGGAAAAGAGTGTTCTATCTACAGGTGGTTTGTCAAGCAGACTCACCTGCGAGAAGCACACTAAGAATTGGAAGATTTTTTTTAGAAGCATAGAGTAGTGTGGCTGGAGTTAATGCATGATGTACCTCTTTGCGCATTCTCTCGGCTTTGCGTATCTCTAGCCGTAGAGCCTCTAGTTTCTGCGACACTCCTTCCATCTCCTCCTCCTTGTCTTTGAACTGTCGGCTGAGGCGCTGCTTTTGTGTGCGAACATCGCTCAGCTGTTCATTCAGCTCAGCGAACTCCTTTATGGCCATCTTTTTTTGACTGTGAGCATCCTTTAGCTCCTTCCCCTGAGCCTTCACCTTCTCTGCCAAACCCAGCAGCTCCTTCACAGATTTTTAACAGAAGCAATGTTAATGGAACTCATTGCAAATACTCACCAGTTACAGAGTAATCTGTTGAACAACGAAGTAAAAACTGAAAGTCAGCTCAGGTCACTGTGACTATTTGGCTTGTTTAGTTATTATGCTTTTACACTAGGGTCGACTGCATGGTCTGAACCCCAATTTGATTGATTTGATTGATTCAAACTGTGGTTTTTGTTTCCTGATTCATTTCCGATGAATGTGAGTGGAAATGAGATCCAAATTTTCTCTCTGCTTGCAGCGTGTAAGTCACGCTTGTCAGGAAAGCACATAAACACATAAATTTACATTTGGACTAATCCATGCCATTGGTAGTGTCTCCATGATTTTATTTTAAATGTGTTCATGTCAAAAATTATAATAACTCAGGTATGCATCTGAGTTTAGAATAGAGTATATGCATTGTACAAACAAGCCAAACTCTGACATCAAACAAACCTATATACAGACAACAAGTTTTATGGCCCCTTTCCACTGAGTGATACGGTAGGGTAGGGTTCGGAATGCTTTTATGGCCATTTCCACTGTCAAAAGATACATACAAGTGAACCGTACCGTACCACTTTTTGGGTACCCTTTGCAAAGGGTACCTAGCACATAAAAAAGGGTACCAAAAAGCAGAGCGAGGCGTGGTTCACTATTGGTTTACAGAGCATTACTGCATACACAAGCAGGAGAATGGAAAATAAAGGAAGCGCCATGTTTTAAATACACAGCCAAGACATTACTTACACATTTATAATATATACATATAATAACGAGCCATGGTTGACCTGAGCTCAAACAAACCTTGTCGTCATCTTCATGAACAGCCACCAAGCCAAAAACAACAAAATCTGCCGTGTCCCGTTTTTGTTTTATGGGGCCGTCTAAAAGTGCGATCAGTTTCACTTTCTCCAGAGAGCTCACGATCGTGTCTATATTTGAAATAACAAACTTGTTGAGTTCATGATAATAGCATGCACTTGATTATTGAAGTGCTTCTGACATCCGATCCATTCAGAAACGGACAAGCGCGAGAGTAAAGTGCGAAAAAACAAAGGAGCAAATGATTGTCTCGAGCAACCTAAAACATGACCAAAATGCAATGTTTAATTATTTTCATCACCTTTTGGACTCTTATGAACTCGCAATGACAGAATTACTTTCTAACAAGAGGTTACATGTGCTGGTGAAGATTAAAGAAACAGATGAGAGGTTTGCACTGACTTGGCTATATATTGCGTGTTGTTTTTGAACACAGATAAGAATTAAATGTATGCTGTGTGTATTTTTTCTGAAATTTGAAACATATCGGAGACTGTAAGGGTCTGTATGTGTTCATATATGTTGCATTTATTCATTTACTTCATATAATTGCAGACATTACAGTATTCATTGATCTGCAGTTATAATCAATTTATGTTTATAGAAAGGTTAGTAATGAACATTTCTACAAAAGTATTTATGTGAATAAAGTATCTGTTTTGTGAGAAGTGCTTCTCAAATGATATGTAAACAACCCATACAGCTTTACTTAGAGCGAGATATCCTCGAGCGAAAATGACGTCGACTGAAACTTTCTGTTGTACACCATGCCATTGGTACCCTTTTGGCAGTGGAAATGCAAGACTGATAAAGGTGACCCGTACCGTACCATAATGTACCAGTCAGTGGAAACCGGCCATTACTGTGAAAGACCATTAAAAGAGGCTTAATATTTAGCAGTTTAACAGCACTAATATTAAATGTAGAGGTATATACAATATTCTTGGACAAGAACAATTATATGACGAGAATTGATTTAATAAATAAATTGCTGTATTGATAGATCTGAAAATGACCACCTTTAAGGCCTCATTATTTACCATCACCCAGTTACTTCTTATGCTGAACACAGAACTAGATATTCTGAATAATGCTGGGGGAAAAAATCAGCTACTGACATCCATAGTAGGAACAAAAACATATTATGGAAGTCGATGGCTGCTTTTTTCCCCCAACATTCTTCAGTATATCCTCTAAAATGTTCAACATGAGAAAGAAACTCAAACCAGTTTGGAACAGGCGAAGAATGAGTAAATGATGGTGGAATTTTTATATTTGGATGAACAATCCCCTTAAATGTGTTGCCTGGTTTCCCAATCTAGCTAAACACTTGTTTAAGTGGTTTTAGAGAAGTTTCTGTCTGTTTTTTAAAAGGTCGACTCCCTAAACTTTGGCTTGGCCAGGCTTGAAAATCAGCTAGACCAGTTTAAACCATATACCAAGTAAATATTTCCCAAATATTTTGACCTGAATGATAATACCACAGACTATTGAAGTTAGCTACCAGAACAGATACCTTGTGCAGATCATCTTTCTCTTGTGTGACACTCTTCAGCTGTTTCTCTAAGTTCCTGACGACCTTGGACGAGTCTTCCAGGTCTCTTCTAGCTGTGCTGGCGTTCTCCAACTGCTGCTCCATCTGACCAGAGTCTGACATGACAAAAATGTCACCACAATCAAAGAGTAATCAATGGAGTACAATAAAGAAGCTTGACTGCACTTCAATCTAGTTTCGAGCTCTTACCTGCTATCTGTTTCTTCAGGATGTCGATCTCACTCTTTAAACTCCTTATCTCTACCTCTTTATTAGCATTCACTGGGGCGTCTGAATCAGGGTACTGCAGTGCTTGCACCGTTTGCGTAGACTCTATAGGGACAAAAAGGTGTTTCAGAGACGCGGAAAAAATGATGGGATTTAGTGCGGATGTGTTGGTGTCCTCACCCTGTAGTTTACGGGTAAGTTCGGTTTTCTCCTGCTCTAAACGTCGAATTCTCCTCTCATAGGCTTCAGAGGCCAGGCTCTCCTCCAGGCTACGCTGAACATGAGCATCAACCTGTGCAGGTCCGACCGATTCCCGCAAACACCCTCGATCTGACAGCGTGCTTCACAGTAATGCATAAATACATTAATGCTATACAATATAATACAATAATATTAATCATAGTAATATTATTAATAAGGCAAAATAAACTACCATACAAGACATTTCAGATTGGTTCCTTTTATTTGATCAGAGTTTACAGCAAAAACAGTATTATTGTGTAATATTATTAGTGGTGTAAAACAACAAATTACAAATACTCGAATAACTGTAATTTGAGTAGTTTTTCTCAGGAATTGTATTTAACTAAGTAGTTTTAAAATGTGTATTTTTACTTTCCCTTGAGTATATTTTTAGTACAGTATCGGTACTTTTACTCCACTATTTTCCCTCAATCTACAGTCACTACTTTATTTCTTTCTTGTCTATGGTGCTTGGCTGATTGCTTGAAAATTCAGTCCTGCAATTCCCGTTCAATCAAATCCCACATCCTGTAGAAAGTTAATCGCATCATAATGAACAACCTCAAGACATTGGCGCTTTATAAATGCAGCAAACCATTTGGAATCATTAAAAAAATGTCTAAGAAGATGTTCAAAATCTTTACACGCAATCTCACTGATGAGAAAATAAAGGATGTCGACTGTATGATGATTAAAATCACCCAACAACCCTTAACAATCAATAAATAGAATGAAGAATGGAAGAAAGGGAAGATTAAAGGAAGGGCTGAAGAAGGAATAGAAGAAAGGACAGAACGAAGGACTAAATGAATGAAAAAAAGGATTCAAGGTAGGACTAAACAAACTAAGGAAGGAAGGAAGGAACAAACGAATAAACAGATTAATGAATTAACAAATGATCCAATGAAGGAAGAACCAAAATATGAATAAACGAATGAATAAGCGAACAAATGAAGGGAGCATTAAAGGAAGGACCAAATGAATGAAAGAAGGATTCAAGGAAGGAAGGGAGAAACGAATGAATAAATGAATGAACAAAGGGCCTAATATATAATATATATAAACATATATATATATATATATATATATATATATATATATATATATATATATATATATATATATATATATAATAAATATAAACAAACGAACGAATGAATGAGCGAACGAATAAAGGAAGGAACAAATGAATGAAGGAACAAACAAAGAAATTAATAAAGGGAGGACAGAATATACAAACAATGGAAGGAAGGTTGGAAGGAAAGAACAAATATAGGAAGATCACTAAATGCACTGCAGAATGTAACTTTTACCCATCCCTGCGCAAACTGCAGGTAAACACATGAGTATTACAGTGTAATACTCACTACTCACTACTTTTGAGTACTTTTAAAAGGGCTAATTTTTACTATATTTTATAACAGATACTTTTACTCTACTTGCACTACATTTTTAGCCAAGTAATGGTACTTTTTCTTGAGCATGATTTTCAGTACCCTTAATTGATTAATTAAATAAACGTGATTAATTGCATCCAAAATAAAAGTTTGGACATAATTTTTGTTTGTGTACTGTGTATAGTTACTATGGATTCATAAAGAAACACAGGCATGCATATATTTTGGAAATCCTTTATTTATATTTAGATATAAAATATATGTGTATATGATCCAAATTATATATATATAAATGTTTCAAGACAAACTTTTATTTTGTATGTGATTAATCACGATTATTCTTTTACATTGTAAATTTGGATTTATTCCTGTTATTTAAAACAGAATATTCAGCATCACTGCTTCAGTCACATGACCTTTACGTGATCATTATATTATACTGATTTCAAATGGCATGTCTTATATCATCGATGTTGATAACAGTTGCTGAAAAATGTCAGTGTTCTTTAGTGAACTCAAAAGTACAAAAAACTCCATTTTGATTAAATAATGTATTCTTGTTGAGTAACAATATTAAATTATTTCCAAAAAAACCCCACTCAAATATGAAGTAGTGTGCATTCTTAAATGCATGATGAATAAAGAGTCATCTGACTCACCATTTACTCGTGTAGGTGAAGCCTACGAATGGGAGGTGGTGTCCAGAAAATGCTGTGTGTGAAGGTGGAGGCAACGTCTCCTAAAATATTTCAGAAAAACATTACGTGAAAACCATCAATTTCTATATATAAAAGAGGAAACGCATTTCTGCAAAATCAACACACAAAAGACTTAAAGAAATATTTAAAAAAAAAAGAATCATACACAGTTTTTGAGGCAGTCGTCATCCACATCAAAGTTGGAGGTGTCAGTGGGACTGCTGACTTCAGGGATGTAGGGGGCTTCGCATGTGCGGATGTTGTCCCAGTCGATGCCTGTGAAAAAGGGGTGCTGCTTAAAGTCTTCGATACCGTTCTGGCCCAGCCGGTGTTCTCTGCTGCAGATCAGCCGCCGAACAAGATCTTTAGCATCCTCGGACACATCAGTCACCTGAAGTGGGAACTGGAAGCGCTCCTGAAAATGAAAGAGTTCAAATATACTTTAGGAGTGCACAGTGAAGCTCAATCAGACATCACTCAGTATTCTAATTAAGGACCCGATATACTCACAGCGTAGTTAAAATTCACTCTTCATTCAGTGGTAAAAAATGAAAAGATTTATACTGTTAGCAAATACTGCACTTTAATAATGCGGCTACAATATAAATACTCCACGTCTTAATTCAATTTCTGTTTTGTTTGATTAAGACTTTAGTCAGGTTAAGGTTATCAAAAATCGCTGTTTACATGGCAGACCCCTAATCAGAGCGTTGTTTTAATCGTATTAAAATCAGAGTATTGGTGTCCATGTAAACATACTCAGTATGACAACAGAAAACAAGCAACCAAAATTATAGTCTTAAAAACACAGCAGTTAAGAAAGCAATGAGGATCAGTAAAAGCAATGTAGATAATAGGAAGAAAAACAATCCAAGACAAGTCATGTCATGCTTATTTATATTTAGACTTTACAGTTTTAATCCTGAAAATAATGCTCAATGTTGCTTTCAATCAGAATTACACGTCGTTATAAAGCAGCTTTTCTGTGTTCATGTTTTTACTTGTAGATGCTTGACCTCAATAGACTGAACAGAGGAAGTGAACCTAAGAATATTTCCAAGTCAAAAAAGACAGAGCCGCAGGGCCACATCTACTCTGGTGTTTACCAACTCTTCTGGAAAGTTAACTTTGGCATGCTGGATTAACTGCAAACTAAGTTTAGGTTTTGTCTGATTGGTTAAAATGACTGCACGCCACTTCATTCTTTAATTTAGCTTGAAGTATATCGGGGCCTCTACAGTGGTTTAAGATGTGCTCGGTTAAGCTCCACACAAAATTAAATAAACTTTGATGAAAAGGTGTTTTTTTTTACCTCATCGTTAGGTTGAGACGACTAATTCCAGAATAAAATAGTGAAGGAAAGACAAAAAGAATTTGTAATTCAAACCCATGCTTGATTTTTGGGGTTTTATACTAAATACAAGACACAAACTATTACACTGGTGAACTAAAAAAGAAAGAATGAATTACCAAGGTATCAAGGGGATAATTCACCAAACAATAATTTAATCACCCTCAAGTGGTTCCGAACCTCTTTCGTCTGCTGAATACAACAGAAGAGATTTTGAAGAATGTTAGAAGCTGGTAGCCATATAAAATCATTAGTAAGTCCATGCTTAGAATGTTCAACATTCTTTAAAATATCTTCTGTATTCAACAGACTTAAACAGGTTTTGAGTAAATAATGACAGAATGTTCATGTTTTGGGTGAACTATCTCTATTAGTTACTCTACTGCAAACAGGGTACCTCCGCAATTAAAGGTGAAGTGTGTCATTTTTGCAACAGTAGCATCACAAAAGTTTATTAAAAAATGTATTTTCTAATTAGCATTTGATGTTTTGACAGCAACACAGTATTTCTATACTATTCAAAGGAATTCACAATTGATTGGCTCACTTACAGTATAATTTAGTCAAAATGAAGGCCATGTTTTACATCATGTGTTGCAAAATGACAAACATCACCTTTAACTTCACACTGGAATTAGCATGTGGCAAAGAAACACATGTTGGCATTTGATGCAAACTAACCTTATGGTTCATGATCTTTCCATACGTCTCCACCAGAGATTCAGCATAAAAAGGCGTCTCTCCATACAGCATCTCATACATGCAGACCCCCAGAGACCACCAGTCACACTCGGGCCCGTACTTTCCCTTCCCGTCCTCCATAGCCTGCAGGATCTCTGGTGAGATGTAGTCCGGGGTCCCAACTGCTACAGAGGACTGGACCTAAGAGAAAACAGGAGCAAGAAGACGAGAAGATACACTACAGAAAATAAATAATCATGTGCAGGACAACTTTAGCATTGGAGATTAAACTCACTGTCCCGTCTTCCATGAGTTTGAGGCAGGAGCCAAAGTCAGCCAGCCGGATGTGACCATTCATGTCCATCAGGATATTGTCTGGTTTGATATCTCTACATATACACAAAACACAATCACAAACATTTTTTATAACCAAAACAGAACCTTAACAAAACAGTGTTGCATAGTATTCCATGGAAATATAACAATATATAAATAAATAATTCAGAGCAACTTTATATAAAAACTTTTAATTAAAATTTAAGAAAATAATGCAATAAATATGACTAAATGTTTAAAATGTTTGTTTACAGTGTGATTAATATATATATATATATATATATATATATATATATATATATATATATGAGAACTTAAAACATTATTAAACATTTGAAACATTTAGTTATATTCTTTTAATAGCAAAATTTATATAAATATAAAATAGCATTTATTAAATAACATTAATATTAATTTTACTATATGTAAAACTTTGAATCTATATAATTGTATATAAATTGTTGGATTTTATTTAAATATTTTAGCTACCTATATAAATATATTTGCATATAAAACAAATAATAAAATTAATGAATAAAAAATAATAAAATAAAAAAACAAATAATAATAAAATAAAAATAAATAAATAAATAAAAAATAAAATTATAATAATATCATCAACTGTCTTCATTTATTGTTTAAATAAAAGAACGTGTGCCAAGACATTTCTAAAATGTCTGGAATTTATACGCCGTTCATAAGTCGTTTAAGACATCTGAATTTATCTATATCAATAAATCAAACTGTTTTCTGCCTGGCACAAGTACAGTGTTGGTCGTTGTAAAAGAAATAAGTTAAACTTTGAAGGAAGGTACGCACGCACGCACGCACGCACACACACACACACACACACACACACACACACACACACACACACACACACACAAATCTCACTGAAACAGACAGGGGATTTACCTGCGTCAGCACATCATTAATCACAACAGCTTATAAACCCTTAAACTCAGTGCTACTGCTCAGACGTTTTGGTTGTACTTCACAGTCAACGTCTGTAATAAGAACCTACAAGCTCATACAATGTGCGTGTGTTTGTGTATGTGTGATCTTCAATCTTTTGCAGAGCGTTAGTTCAGTGAGTGAAGAGAGTAGTGCAAAACACACAGATTTTTTGGTTGATTAATAATTGTCTGCAAGATATGAAGATGTGTGCGTGTGTTAGGTGAGAGGCAGGCAGTCGCCCCCTTGCTGTCTCACAGCTGAACAGTGGCCCAAAATGAAGCATGTATCAAGACTTTGACACAGAGAGGTCTGTCTGAGGCACTCAGTGGGTGGTGGAACTCAGTCCATAATGACTTGACCTTGTCCTCACTGAATAATAAAACGTCCATTGCTGTCTAAACTGCACTATAGATAATACACTGCTGTGTTGTTGTTGCTTTTTGTCAGTAATTCAATTATTATTATTAAATTCAATCTAATTTCTATTCTCAGCTTCAACAATTCGCAAAGAGCGCAGCAACTAAAAATCTAGGGTAGTAAAAGGGTTTTAATTTGTTTTATATAAATATGATTTTCATTCATTTGAATCATTTCACTGTACTTTTGTATTATATATTAACAAATATATTTGAACACAAATACCTAAGTTTACATTTTAAAACTAAATATAGATAAAAATATATCACATTTTTCAACAATCAAGCCCAATGCACAAAAACTCTTTCCGCAACCATGATCCGTGACCAATCCCCTCCTCCTGCTGAATCTGTCACTGAGGTCTGCTTTGTACCGCTTTTGCTTTCTAAGAGGGTCTTGGCTTGATTGGGCCATTCTCACCGTCACGGTCTTGTGCCACAGCTCAAACAGCAGAGAGCAGAAGCCGACATGCTAAACCAATTAACAAAGTCGAGACGCTCTGAGCCAAACAAATATGCTCCACAGAGTCCATAGATAAACACTATGAGCTAACAAGGTTTGAATACATACTGTTAAACATGGAAATATTCATAACAGATCAAGTTTAAAGATTTTTAGATTAAATTAGTGAATAAATGAACTATGCTGTTAGAGATAATAGTAGCTACACAAACATATTCATAAACAATATAACACTTCTCAAGATTGTGACTCTTAAAGAGTGCTGGTTGTCATTGACTTGCATTTTTAGGGCCTACTCACACTATGCCATCCGTACCGTGCCCAGGCCCATTTCCCGGATCGTTTGAGAAGTGTGAGTGCGGTGAATCGGGCTCAAGCACGCTTCACTTGGCCGGCCCTGGCCCGATTGGAAGAGGTGAGCCTGAGCCCGGTTCACTTGGGCTTTGGCACGGTACGCTTGTGTGTGAGTGCAAAACGCGCCAAAGCCCGAAACTGAAAGCGAGACGTGACTTTTAAGGCACTGTTTCATATGGATTTATTAATCATTCTTACTGTTCAGTGAACGCAAACTGCCGTAGTTTATTAAAGACGCAAACTCCTCACAGCACGCCAGCTGTGCGCCTTCAGCAGACCTCCTCATTCCTGCAGCACGAGAGCTTTATGATTGTTTATGAGCGCCAAAAGTCTGTCGGATCTGTTCGGCAAAATATCTGACTGCGTGTCCCCGCATCCCTAAGGACTGTTTGGCGAAATATTTGACGGCATATCAAACGACTGAAACGATATAACTAGAGAAATCTCCACTGTGCTGCTGAGTGAGAGAGTGCTTCTCACTGAACAGCGCAGCAGCGATGACGTAAGCATGCCGAAGCCCGTTTGTGGTGTGAGCGCGGGCCGTCGGGGGAGACGGGAGGGGGGACAAGCGTGCTTTGGCCCGGTTTGAGGCAACTGTGAGTACGGCCTTAATCACCAAGTACCATGATTTCAGTTAAGAATCTGAAATCAATTTAAAGCTGCTATAGAGTGCATTCATTCTATAATTTAAATTGTTCTCTGATACCTACATAGTAGTAAGCTCAACAATTCTGCAGAAACATTAACATTAATGAGATCTGCTCTGACACTCCATAGCTTGTGTCAGATGTACTATGAAATAAACATGTGCAAAATAATCATACTTCCAAAATATTTCAACAACCTGAGTAGATGTCTTGTTAACAATCTTCTCAAGTGAAGATGTGGAGAGGTTTATTATAGACAGTAGTGAGGGAGCTGTGTTTGAGCAACTAGAGGAGCCTAGCTTGCTCCTGAATTGTGTTGTGAATGAAATATAGGCAAAATAATGGTTATATTCAACAAAAAGCACAGAAAGAGATGTATTTCGAGTTGAATTTTGAAGCTTTAAAATAAATAAAAATGCAGACAGGAAATAATATCAACTTCTGCATAAACAAAGAAGGTTTTATAAAGGTCATTGGGGTCCTTTCACTCTAGACAAATCAAAGCAAGAGCTGAATGATATAAAAACGATGTACACGCTTGCATTTAACACCAATTTTAGTGACTCACATGTGTCTGTTGCTTCATTACAAACATAGACAGCAAATTTCACGCATCTTAATGAATAGAATAAATCTGTAATCTGTATATCCTGCTTTTTGCATTTTGACGAGAGTTTAACAGATGCGATGCATAATTGCATGTTTCACAAAACTGCCTCTTTGGTCTTCCTGCCTCTCTAGATTTCATAATAAGAGTCCCCCATACATACTATGCTTATTATTAGTATGAAAAACTTTTTTAAAAAAAGGCAAAAATATCATTGTTACAATCTCACTAGAATACTCCATGGGCAATCAAACTGACAAAGCAGACATCAAAAAGCATATTAATGCCCATGTGGACTGTCAGAGTTGGTGTTTTATTCCGATTGCTCTGTTTTAAATTCACAGTATTTACATGACAACAAGAAAACAGTGGCATTCGAGGCTCACAGTATGTCATGTTCATGCAGTGAACGTTTATTACTAAATTTGCTATGCCTAGGTATATCCACATTTACATTCGATGGCATGATTAATGATATACTAAAGCAAAACGTCATCTACATCTTGAATGGCATGAAGATAAGTAAATTAAAGGGATAGCTCTTCCAAAACAGAATTATTTATTCACCCTACACTTATTCCAAACAAACGTTTTTTTTGTGTTGTTTTGTTCTGATGAATACAAAAGAAGATATTTTGAAGGATGTTGGAAACATGTAACCATTGACATTCGGAAAAACAAATACAATGGAAGTCAATGGTTACAAGTTTCCAACATTCTTCAAAATATCTTCTTTTGTGTTCAACAGAATTTGAATTTTAGTGTGATCTCATTAATAGCAAACATTCATTTATTGGGTGAACTATCCCTTTAAGACTCTAATCACAGCTAAGCTCCCCTTTAAACTACGATAAACTTGGCGCGTCTTAAATCGATGTTAGATTTGGTTAACCTGGCCGCATGCCTCCTGCCAGGCTAAAAGCCATTCACTTTGTAATGGTGCATTAAGGGGTCCGGTCCGGTCAGCAGGGGTTATAGTGTAGGTGATAATTGGGTGGCTCTGTCCCAGGCTGCTGTCTTAAGGAGCAGCGGACTGCGAGCAGAGGGAGGTAATCCCACTTTAAGACCACAATAACCATCTGTGAGCACCATCTGGCTCTGCCTCATGCCTACCACAGGGAGAGCTGGTCAGCTGTAGACAGGAATAAAGAGAAGGGGGTGGGACTCGTTGTATGGGGACGTTGGATACATTTCAGCAACTCATTTAGACCCTCTTTTCATTCATGCATTGAGCTCAGTCCATTATTTCTAGAGAAAAAAGTAAAGTATGAGGAAACTTCAACTTGTAGGTCAAGGCCCTCTGGTTGAAAAAAAAGCTGTTCTACAAGCGCTAATACTGACGGCGGTGTGGCCAAACAAAGCTCTTTATGAGGTCACCCAATCACCTGTGCTGCTTCAAATGAATGTGGCTTTATCCTCAGGCAACGACTGTGCATCTTTTTCCTTTGAAAGAGGATCTTTACAGGTAACAAGAGATCCCTTCTTGACTTTTGAGGTGCGATGAGCCATGTCTGGCGGTGAATGAAATTCTAGTTTCTTTAAGGAATCAGCTGGGACGTCCCACTGATGATCGATAGCAGGACACACATATGGCCCTGATCAATAACTG